GAAAAACTAATGGTAATGAAATACTGTGCTGATTTAATCAAATGGTTTTTATTCGATACAGTGAAGAAAGTACAATCTGCAAAATCATTTACTGCATCAGCGTAGCTAGAACAGGCTGTTCAGCCTAACAAGTAGCTACCCCCGGGATAACTATTGCAATTAAGCAACGACAAAGATCAGTTCACGCTAATTAGAAAAAAATTAAATGAACCTGACAACAATAATTAATTTTGGAACTTCATACGCGTCTTTTTGTTTTTAGAAATTAGACAATTATTGATAATAACGAAGTTTGTTTGCTTAGAATTTCACAGAAGTTCAATTGGGACAATATATTTGGAAAATTCGGGCCCAAAATTTTTTTCGCACAAATTTTGACTCTAATTATTCAATCAAAAATAACGCTTAAATTACCTGGTCACTTGCTTTTAAAATTAGACAGTCTCAATTTTCTCAGAATAAATTACACTTCCCTGATTTGGACGAAACTCTTAAGCAACTTTTGTTCTCATTTTTCGACTAATGTCAACCCAATTTGTGTTATCAAGTTTCCTATTCTAGTTTTCTCCGGATTGTTTTGACCTGACAAAAAAGATAACTGACAAAAGGATTGACCTAAAATCAATTTTCAGAAAATCGACCAGCATAAAAGTTTTTTGATAACGAGAGTCTTTCATAACATTAAAATGTAATTAGCATAATTTTGATAGCTCATTTCAAAATAATCTGGAAAAATAATCATGAAAGAGAGAATTCATGAAAGATAGAACCAAAGTTATGGTTATAAAATTGGAAACAATAAAGAAGATAATCAAATTGAAGAACTTGGAGTGAATTGACAAAAGACACACTGAGTACCCACCGAGAGTCTATGAATAATTAAAAACTCAAGATTAGCGGCAAAAACTTGCAAGGCCATTTCGAATATCCAATGAATTTTATGCTAGTCGATACAAATAGCTAAAACCTAACTTCTACGCTAGTCCAAATTTGTGCTAGTTGGTAACCGCCGCAAAACCGACAGCAACTTACTAGAACGAAATATTATCCACAAAATTTCAATTACGATCTGGGCACAGCTCAATTGCTATTAAAGAGGTTATAGACAAACTCTTTAACTCAACGTCTTAACAGCGTGTCACAAAAAAATAGCTTATTTAATTAAAGTAATTCCTTAGCAGGTCACCTTCATTCCTTAGCAGACGCCACTTTAGTCAAAACTTCCCATAATTTATAGGTTCGAAAAATTTGAATTTGAGCTGCCAAGTCGGTAATTGAAACACAGAGGTGACCTGAGCATCGAACTACTTGCGATACAAAACAAGAAAGCCGCTAAAAAAATCGAAAATGTCGAAAAAAACTAGATCTATCGAAATAAAGCTAGTTTTGAAACAAAACGTGCCAAGACAATAGAAGCAAAAATTAGCAACGAAACAAATGTTACCAAGCGGTAACATTTTGCAGAAACCGTTTAAACCGAAAAAAATCAACAAGACTTACAAAAATTTATTAATTTTCCCTCACCCTTCAATACACACGCAAGAAACTTTATTCGCTGGTCAAATTAAACATCATGACGCCTTTAGGCCGATATAATATAGGCCGAAAAAAAAGAAAGAAATCAAAAACAAAACAAAGACTAATAAAAGTTCTTAAGTCCCTCTCGCTCTCAAAACATACACAGAGACAAACAAAAAGCTTTTTCGCTCCTCGAAGGACACAAAATGAGGCCACTAAGCCAATATAATTGACAAAAATACACCATTTTGCTATGCACAAAATATATCTGTAGCGGAGAACTTGTTGCTAAAAGAGACTACGGGAAATGAGTAGGGAAGTCCCGTGAACAAAGTTATTTACGGGAAAATCAAGTACCCAGTTGCAATATCCTTGCTTATGCAAGAGTAAATAATTAGGAAATAGCAAGATGTGATGAGTCGCAGCATGAGATGAAACATAACAGCACATAAGGTGTTTGTTAGACAATTTATTTACAGGTAAAAAATGTCTGATATCCAATTTGATGTTTTTTTTCTAGTCGCAATTTTAATATATGTTGCCAATAGAAACGTTGTAAACTCAAGTAAAACAAAAAAAAAGATATATTCGATTTGAACAATTTTAAGTTTTTGAATCAGTAAGAATTTCAAAAATCTTTTTTGACTGACTCTTTTTTCATTAAATTATCTCTTTAGAAAAACAGGGCCAATAAGAGATCCTTTCAGCAGTGAAAACTTAAATTAAAAGTCCACTTCCGAAACCAAAAAGCGAAAGTTTTTTTTTGCAAAATTTGCATTTTCGTAATTGCAGATCATAATTTGCCGTTTTTTACCGAACGAAATTGAGCTAAGCTGAAATAATTCAAGATAAAACGCAATAAACATCAAACTATCTAAATGAGTGTCTTTACGCCGTTTATTGACACTTTTAAAGGCAATTCAATTTTGCGTTTAAAAATTTCGGGAAAAAAGTCAAATAAGTAAAAAACTTAACTCTGTTTTTGAAAATGGAAGTGATTAACGTTATTTAACCTGTACTTTTTTGATGTTCGATAGTGACGTTTGCCTTCATTTTAAGAAAGAAAATGAACTGAAATTAAAAAGAAATCTTTTGTTTAGATATTGATAATTTTTGCTAAAAATGACCAGAAAGCCATGGAGAAACCGTTTCAGAGAAGTGAAAACGAGCAAAATCAAAGTTGAGCTCGGGCAAAAACTTTTTCTTTTACAGAATCATCAATACCCATTTCGTTCTTTAGCAATTAAAAAGTATAACTCAGTTCAGCCAAAAACTTGTTCGAAATTTATAGCCTAGTCACGCTATTGATATCTTTTCAAGACTCATCTTTCCAAGTAAAGAAAAATGGAAGAAAGCTGAATTAATAAATATAATCTCTAGCATAGCAAATTACCTCAAATAAACAAACGCAACTCATCATCTCAGCTGAGAATCAAATACAGCTTATCAACAAATTTCTTCTTTTTGGCTCAAAATATTCAATCTGACAATAAAAATTGAATTAAGCTATAGTTCCTCTGGTATCACAAATCGATTGCAATTCTTACAAATCCGCTCATAATCAGGATCCTCCGGTAGCTTAAAAAGTTTTAATCCTTGATTCCAGTTCAAAAAATAATCAGTGCCCAGAGAGGAGGTAGAACCAGAGGGCAAAAGGGCAGAAAAGATGGTGTGTGCAAACTCCACTCGATGAACATCAATGTTTGAATGAGTAGGGGGGTTCAGTAGTCGGTGCCTCGGCTGACTACCTCTTTGCAGCTAGGTCTGAGGAGTATGGTGTGCTCGAACTGAGCAGTGAAGCACCCTTTGATGTCGCTCAGTGGGGGATAGGCATTGATGATTCCCTCGTCACAGAGCTGTCTCAGAGATAGCTGATACCTAAAAAAGAGCAACCAACAGCAATATTACGCAGCTAAGTATTCATCTTTAAGGTTTTCGGGATAACCAGATAGAAAACAAAACAGCCAACGGACAGTTGGAAAAGAGTAATGAACGCAAGTAATCATTAAAAAAACACTGAATTTGTTGACATGGAAATTCTCAACTTTCGAAATTCAAAGAAAAAAATAGATGCCATTTAAGCTCTTTGATTTTCTAGAACAATTTATGACCGGCGCTTTTTTGATAATAATAACCCAACTTGAGAAAACTGCATCAATAAGTAAAGTTTTTATTCCGCTGGGAAATCTAAAAATTAAATTTTACTTTCGAAACTAGAAATGGTTCACATTTTTTGCGCCATTTCCACATTTGTATTTGGAGAGTGCTATTTACGTCACTTTCAGCAGATGAATTTCAATTGAACTCAAAAAGATATACTTAAGTGCATTCATAAATGCATTAATATGTATGAAAATGCCTATCTGTAGTTATTAAAGCATTTTAAAGACTTCTTCCTGAAAAGAAATCACCAAGACTTATTTAAGAGTCTTCACTACGTTCATTACTTTTAATGATATCAGTCAAATTGAATCTTTGCCCTTTGGTGGATCGGTCGTTAAAATATCCACACGAGCTCTTTTTCCAAAACTTTGTTTAATCAGAGATATTCATCCGCATAATTCTACTAATTCTGACATACTCTCCCGTTTAACATACCGAGACTCGCCTGCCCTCTCCAGCCATCGTTTGCAGAAAGCGAGAGTTCCAAAGTTCTTGTTGATGCTGTTGAGGAGCTGCTTCGTTTTCTGCACTCGAATGTTGCGGAATCCGGCGTCGAAATTCTTCATGTAATGGGAGCAGTCACTGTCATCATTCACCCAGCCCTTTCCTGTGCTGCCGAATGTCTCGATGGCGTAGAATTCATTTTCCTCCATCACTTCACGCTTCTCTCCGCCCTGAACAAAAGAGACGACCAATGACAATCTATATCACATCGAAAGTAATTATAAACAAGAACTCGTTCTATGCTATTCGTTGCGTTTGCAATAATTTAAGATTCAGTAGACTCATTGGAAATGAAAGAGGCTTGTGACCTTGACAATGGGCACTGTTTTCCCCGCGTGTATCCTGTATGCATCAATAGAGTGCCCGTTCAGATTCCTGATGGGGTGGATGGGATAGGTCTTCCCGTCCAACTCCACCTCGTATGATTCCATCGTCTCCTGAATTGCCTCCCCTATCTCGCCCAGTCTCGCGTCTATTCCTATAATGACCCAGACTCACTGTACAAATTTGTGACTATTTATTTAGAAATCAATTTCTTTCAATATTTTTTCGACTGCAGTTTCAAAATTTCTTTTCATGTATCAGAGTCCACAAATAGTTTAGTTAGCAACAGGTTTTTATGAATTTTAATATAGTTTGATGCAAACAGGTCAGATAATGTATTGAGCATTCCATTAACCAGATATAACACTTGACCGAGCAAAGAAATTTTATTCCACGGAAAAGAAACTTGCTGAAAGGAAAACTGAGACTGTCCACAAAAAAACGAGTAACGAGTAGAAAAGTTTATGTGATCCAGACAAAAAAGTACCTGATTAATAATAATAATGAGTATTAAGTTATAGTTGCAAAAGTTTTCGAAATTTCAATCAAAGACATAACCTTCGACTGTTTTATACACTCATTTTGCGATGGTTTGTTTATTCACACTCTTGCAGAAATTGCTATGAAACTCCAACAGAACGAAGAAAAACTCGCAGTATCGGACAAATAAACGGAAACCAACATGAACCACAACATAACTTCAAGCTTCAGAATAAAGGTATCGAGTCAGCGATGATCTCAATGCAAAATGAATATTCAAACTATAAGATAATACGACCAGGAAGATTTTTTAAACTCGCAAGAAACCGCTAACGCTTCGTGTAATTTTACTAGCAAGACTAGAATTGACCAGAGGTATCGAGAACTCGCTGAAGAATAAATTAATCCGCTAACAGTATTATTGAAGGAAGATTCAAAAAAATATATATGTCTGAAAAAGCGATGCGGACTTGCACACTCTGGATGTCCACAAAAAACCTGAAAAATCGAAGCTTCGAACGTTTCAGTAATGGCAAAATAGTCTTTTCGATAAAAAAAAATGATGGGGAAAGGCCTTTGGACAGTATATATGTGCAATTCAGGACTTAAAGCAAGATGCGGAGAATCAGACCTGCCAAGTATGATTGACACAGAGGCGAAGTTATACTTCGCATAGACAAGCAAAAATATGACCGATAACGCTACTGGGAAAAACTCAATGAGTAAATCTTTGAGTCTACAAAGATTCTTAAGTGACGCACGCCATTTATGAGTCTACATAATTGCTAAGTGATGCAAGCCATTTATGACGCATTAGCAGTACCAGTCAATTTGAAAATAAATTTCTCAATTAAAATGTCTCAATTTATAAAGCGGACGCATTTTAACTAGTATACGAAAAAGTTCATCAAAACATCCGAGCCTACCCAGGTTCGAACCCTCTTAATTTTCTGCTGGTCGCCTTCCCTACCTCTACGCTACAGAACAATGATACTTTGAAGCTAAAGTGCTATTTGTAATATAATAGTCTGTGTTCATATCCTTAGCATTGGCTGTACGTAATAGCTGGATCAAAATGAACACGTTCAAAATGAACACATTTTGTCGCAACAATTGCATCGCAACAATATTTGCGACTTAGGTTGGAAAAAAATAAAGTTCATTCTATAAAACAAGCTATGCTTGTGTAAACGCCTTAATGTTAAAAGAAAAAGGTATTATCGGCTCTTGTCTACTCCCCCCTACATTTGACTTTGAATTTTGAAACACTAGTTTCGCGTTTTCACAATGTAATGAAATTTTGCATGGAAGTGAACAAACCAAATATGTTGAACAAAATTGTTCTTCATACCTTACTTCGTAGCATCACGCGTTTAGCCATATTAACAAGTGAGACAAGTGCAAAAATGGAAAACTTGAAATGTGGGGGAGGGTGAAGGGAAGAGAGCCGTAAATTGATTTTGAATTGATTTTAACTAAATTGATTTTAACAAAAATGCGGTAAATTTATTGCCTCAAGTATTTGATATGCGTGAATTACTTTTGATTTTGACTACTTGAGACCACGTTGACTTATTGAAAGTCTGAAACTGACAATAGTGATAGAAAGACATCAATAATTACGAAAGACGTAACAAATTGGGAAATGCACTCCTACTTAGCAATTTTAATTTAATTTGCGTGTAAAACGATTCTCGGTGAAAATTCAGAGGAATCGAACATTCCAGTAAATGACTACAAAAGAAACAGCTGACAGATCCATCAACTCACAGCGGATCAACACAAAGGAGAACACGACAAAAAGCAGCTCTAGAGTTCTAAATAGTGCAAAAAGAAAAAAATTACGCCTCGAATTAGTAAAAACTCGGCGACTTCTCGGACTCGCACCTACTGCGACCTAAAAATTATGAAGGTCACGCACTAACCACTCGTTCACCGATGCTTAGTCCATCACAAACACTAGCCACAAATAAAGCCGGGAACAGATGCTATGCAATTTCCAATGCTACAGATCCGTGATTATAGCAAAAAGGCACACAAAGTGAATACTTTTAATGAACACTTTTATTTGCGAGTTAGGTTAGAAAAAAAGAAGTTTCGTACTAAAACACTAGCTGCTCACTAGCGTAAATACCGATACAAGCCTACAGAATTTAAACAAGCAATGTCAAAATTGTCTAAACCGAAATCTTCATTATTATGCGGGAAAATTTACCTAAGAATGTGATGAAAACTTCGCGGCCCAGATGATAAAAAACAATCGCTAATCGGCTTCTTATTTATAAAAAGCTAATACAAACAGTTCATTTTGGCACTTTTAACAGAAACTGTTAAGTTAACTCAAAGAGACCTCAGTTTTCCGACGATCTAAGATTTCTACCCAGAGGCGAAGTTGCACTTCGCATACACAAGCAAAAATATGACCGATAACGCTACTGAGAAAAACTGAATGATTAAAACTTTGAGTCTTCAAAAATTCTTAAGTGACGCACGCCAATTATGAGTCTACACAAATGCTAAGCGATGCAAACCATTTATGACGCATTAGCAGTACCAGTAAATTTGAAAAAAAATTACCAACTAACATGCCTCAATTTATAGAGCGGACGCATTTTAATTAGTATACGAAAAAGTTCATTAAAAACATCCGACCCTGCCCAGATTCGAACCCTCTTATTTTGCTGCAGGTCTCCTTTCCTTCCCTACCTCTACGCTACAGATCCATGATACCTTGCAGCTTAAGTGCTTGTAATATAATAGTCTGTGTTAATATCATTAGCATTGGCTGTACTTAATAGCTGGTTATTGATCAAAATGAACACTTTCAAAATGAACACATTTTGTCACAAAAATATTTGCTCAGCAACAATATTTGCTACTTAGATTGGGAAAAACAGAGTACATACTATCACACAAGCTTTGCTTGTATTATGACAGTCATGCTGTCAAACCAAGCTAAGAGCAAAAACCTGAAATTCAAGATGAAGGAACTGCGGACAAGGAAACTATGTTGAGATGAAAGCGGAAAAGAATGTTCAACCATTTAACTCAATTTGATTCACTAACACCAACATGTATCCCAAACATATCGGGCATGTAAAATTGACAACAATTTTTGAGATTTATACCCACGTCGAAAGAGAAAATCACCAAGAGCAACCGATACGGATCAAGTCATTTTCATCATATCTGATTAGAAAACTGCAAGAAAAAAGAAAACAGTTTTGGCGAAGCTGCCATATTGAGATACTGCCGTATCCCATATCTCTTCTGAAAATCGACAGCAAAGTCTTTGAAAAACTCCACTCCGATGCACTGCACGAATAATTCAAAGCATATTTAATTGAAGAGCATCATGGCTTCGTACGAACGAGATCAGTCGTAATGGACATGCTCGCATTTCTTCGCTGAATACACATCACCTCAGACAAAAATCGCAAGATACCGTTATTGCAATTTAAACTAAATGTTTAAAAGCTATCGACAGAGAAATCTTCTTTGGAATAACCATAGGCATGGCAGTCAGCGGATGCTTTTTCGCAATACTTTTCGACAACCAAAAGTTTCTTAAATGCTGAATGGCCTAATCGTGTGCTTATGTTTATATTCTCAAAAATGTTACCTGCTTCTTTAATTCCTGTGTTTGTGGCTGCTCGAACTGCCTCGAGTAGTTTGTCGTACTTGTTGTCGAAAGCCACTGTCCATGCACAGTCTATGATTCGCCCATTCACGTGCACGCCAAAGTCAACCTGAATACATAAATCAATTTAGGTTGAAATCAACTCGAAACTAGCGTGTACCGCACCTCCAGTGCTTCGAATTTTCAACAAAATTACAATTACAAATTTTGCAAAGTTTTGTATTCTAGTTTTTTTATACAAATTATGAAGAACCATGAAATTTTGTGAAGTTTTATATAAGTTCTTCGAAAAATTTAAACTGAACTAAGAAACGTCACATCTGGGAAACTGAAAGCAATTGAGCAGTCGCATTTGGACGCATTTGCAACCCCTGAGAGTACTCTTACAGTACCCAACTACAACGTTGGGAAATTCAAATTTGGAGAAACTTCACCTTAAGTTTTCTAATCTTGAAAACAACCAATATTTGAGCAGTCTTTTTTGATGGCAATATTCGCAATCTTTGAAAGTAGATAACTACACGGTGGGGAATTTCACTTTAACGAATTATTTTGTAATTTGAGTTTTCTGAAAAATCACACAAATCTTCGTATCCCTTAAAGAAAAATAATTTGGGCATTCTTAAATGGAGGCCAAATTTGCAATCCCTGAGATTACTCTGACAGCCCCCCAACTACAGGTTAGGAATTTCAGACTTTGAAGAAAAAAAAAATTTTCATGAGTTTTTTTTTGAAAAAATCACAAAAACGTAATATCTGGAAAACTGCACGATTTTGAGCAGTCCTATTTGGAGGCAAAATTTGCAACTTCAGAGAGTACCCTGACAGAGCCTCACTACAGAGATAATAATTTCAAGTTTTGCGAAAACTTTTATAATTAAGTTTTCTGATAAATTTTGAAAAAATCCTAAAAAAAACGTCATATATCGAAAACTACAAGAATTTGAGCAGCGATATTCAGAGGCAAGATTCGCAACCCTCTGAGAGTACCCTCACAGATTCCAATAACAGGATTGAGATCTTAAAAGTTTTGGAATTTTTTAACATTTAAGTTGGTTTCAAATTTCGAATAAAATCATAAAAAAACAGAAAAAATCTCGAAAACGACAAGGGTTTGAGCAGTCATATTTGGCAGCAAAATTCGCAACTTCTGAGAGTACCCTGACAGAGCCTCATTACAGAGATAGTTATTTCAAGTTTTGTGAAATTTTTTATATCTAAGTTTTCTGAAAAATTTTGAAAAAATCCAAAAAACGTCAAATCTACAAGGATTTGAGCAGCCATAATCAAAGGCAAGATTCGCAACCCCTGAGAGTACCCTCACAATGTCCAATAACAGGATTGAGATCTTCGTTTTGGAATTTTTTTAAAATCTAAGTTCTTGAAAAATTTTTGAAAAAATCATAAAAACCATCATATCTCGAAAACTACAAGGGTTTGAGCAGTCATATTTGGCGGCAAAATTCGCAACTCCTGAGATTGCCCTGACAGAGCTTCACTACAGAGATGATAATTTTGCGAAAAATTTCATATTTAAAAGTTTTCTGAAAAATTTTGAAAAAAAAAAGTAAAAAAAAAAAACGGCATATCTCAGAAATTCGAAGAAATTTAGCAGTCATCTTGGGAGGCAAAATTCGCAACACTTGAGAGTACCCTGGCAGATCCTCACTACACAGATAATAATTTCAAGGTTTGCGAAATTTTTTATAATTAAGTTTTCTGAAAAATTTTGAAAATCCTAAAAAAACGTCATCTATCCAAAACTACAAGAATTTGAGCAGCGATATTCAGAGACAAGATTCGCAAACCCCTGAGAGTACCATTACAGATTCTAATAACAGGATTGACATCTTTAAAGTTTTGGAATTTTTTAACATTTAAGTTTGTTTCAAATTTCGGATAAAATCATAAAAAAACAGAAAAAATCTCGAAAACTACAAGGGTTTGAGCAGTCATATTTGGCAGCAAAATTCGCAACTTCTGAGAGTACCCTGACAGAGCCTCATTACAGAGATAGTTATTTCAAGTTTTGTGAAATTTTTTATATCTAAGTTTTCTGAAAAATTTTGAAAAAATCCAAAAAACGTCAAATCTACAAGGATTTGAGCAGACATAATCAAAGGCAAGATTCGCAACCCCTGAGAGTACCCTCACAATGTCCAATAACAGGATTGAGATCTTCGTTTTGGAATTTTTTAAAATCTAAGTTCTTGAAAAATTTTTGAAAAAATCATAAAAACCATCATATCTCGAAAACTACTAGGATTCGAGAAGTGAGAATTGGAGGCAAGATTCGCAACCCCTGAGATTACCCTGACAGCGCCCAACTACAGGGTGAGAATTTCAAAAATTGAGAAACTTTTTAATATTAAATTTTTTAGAAAATTTTGAAACTCGAAAATTGCCTATCTCGTAAGGATTTGGCTATTCATATATGGAGGCCAGAATCGCAAAATCTAGGAAAACTCAGACAATATCCTATTATTGGTTTGCTAATTTCAAACTTGATGAAATAAACACTGAACTTAAGTTGGAAAATTGAAAAAAAAACCTTAAACATTGCAACATACGATATAGCTTAAACGTGAAAAAATTCTTTTGTTAAACATGCAAAAATATTACGTTGAAAAAGCTTAAACATAGCGAGATAGTGAAGCTCGCAATTAAATATATAATAGATAGATAGATAGATAATAGATGAAAGTTAAAAAATTAGGCGACGGGTAGACAGACAATCAAATTAATTATAAAAGCAGGTATACAGACAGACAGACAGACTTAATTTGGCCTCGAAAAAAAATACTGAAAAATTAATGACCTTGCGAAAAACTAATTGAAAAATTTTCTTAAGCATTGCAATATATGCTATAGCTTAAACATGAAAAAACTCTTTCGTTAAACATGCAAAATTATTATGCTTAAACATGGGAGATAGCTGTCACTCGCATTATATGTCTATAGATATATAGATATAGATTACTAGGTTCACATAAAAAAGACGGTCAAAAGGTTCTTTGACAATTAAGTATCTCAATTAGGTCATATTTGAATCTTTCGCATTGGTTTCGTATTTTAGACTTCTCAGCGGAAGAAAACAGTTACTTCAGTTTATTCAATTGGGTCAGTTAAAAATGTGTCCTTTCTGGGGAAATCCACTTTTGAAACTTCAAATCAAGCAAGTTTTATTTAGCAAAATTTGTTATTGGAGAGCACAATGTGACTTTTATTTAGCAAATGAACTTGAAAAAAAAACATTAAAAAAGCGTTGAAAAACTTTGTTTTAACACGTAAAACACACCCTCTTACCTTGCATACATCCTCATACTTCAGCACTGTTGTATCTCCCGGATTGGGAGTGTAGTGAGCGGCACAGTGGTTGAGACTGCAGCCAGTGGGGAATGCCAGACCGGCACTCAGACCATTCTCCTGGATCAGCCTCCGGTTGCAGTCTTCCAGCTTCTCGCAGATCTCGACCATAGTCACACCTGAACAGACGCTTTACTCCATTTTATCTACCTCAAGTCCATTTACATCATGTCATGTCCAAGACAGCTTCTCTTACTACAACTGCATTTCGTATCATGAGATTTACTTCATACACATAAATTTTTATTCCTACCATTTGGAAAATGGGAAGGAACATTGTATTCAAAAGTTTTTAATTTTTTTTTGTTTTCATTTTTCTGTTTTGCACGCAAAATCAAGTACTACAAATAATCATCCGAATAGGTCGAGTGATATATCATGATGAAGCTCTTTCAGTCGTCCTAAACCCCTCATTCCCTCCGAGCTGTCTTTGTGTCAGTCAAATTCCGTCGGAAAATAACTCAACCTATGCCATAGTTCCTTCATGCTTGAACAAAAATGCCGACATACCGGCAAAACTTTACACTATAACACTTTATTATAACACTTTGACACAGGCGCAAAGCCTCACTTCGCAAACACTAACGAGAGAACGACGTAAATTACCTCTTTAAATAAAAAGGAAACAAAGAAAAAATATTTCGAAAACTATTTTTTGATTTTTTTCGACATTTTTTCGACAAAAATATTTCGAAAACTATTTTTTGATTTTTTTCGACAATTTTTCGACAAATATGTTTTTCAATTTGCTTATTTTAGTATGGCTGTCAAATATATCTAATCCCAACTTTTTGTTTCAGCTCCTTTTATGACACCACGCCGAAAAAAAACGACATTAATTTGAAAAAACTTAGTTGTATTTTTAAAAGTATGGTCGTAACGTTCTGTTCTAGTAGTGCAAGTAACATTCTTGCACAGTAACCGGCTATCCTTGTTTATATGTCTTTTTTTTTAACTGGGACCCGTCAAGTTTTCGGGACCCTGCTTCTAATCGAGTTTTGCAACGAGACCATTCTTTAACCGAGGTTTCTAATGGGACGTTTTTAAAGGAAATTTGTAATGGGACCATACTTCTTAACGACTACCCAGACATGCCTAAAATATTAGTTGAGCTATGCAGTTGCTTTTACATACATTTAGTTGGGTAAATACAAAAATAACGTGACTACAGTCTACCTGGCTTGATCCAAGATTGCACCCACTGTCGAGTAGTCCTGTGGCACTCGGCAGCCCTTCTGAAGTCGTGATAAATATCCTCAAATGGCGCCTCCATTGCTTTCGTCTCCTCTGCACTCACTCGATTCCTTGCTTTTCTCTCATCGCTGAACGTCGGGTGGTCCATTATTTCACCCACCGGGTATGAATTGTTTGGGAACATTTCTGTTATTGGGATTGAAGGGGGATCTGTTTGCTTTTTACCAACTTTCTTTTTCTTTTTCTTCTTTTTCTTGGCTTTCTCGGGAGCCGAACCATCTTCGCCATTTTCGTTCTCGGCTTCCGCGTCGTTATCTACATCTCCATCATTGTTCGGCTCGATTGTTTCCTTCTCGGGCTCCTTGGTTTTATTCAATCCAATCACAGCGTGATTTTCCTTTTCTTCAACTTCAACCGCGGCAGTTTGTTCAACTTCTGCCATTCTCGATCACGCTTTGAAAACCAACATCGGCCAATATTATCTGAAGTTTAAAGAAGGAGTATGAACCTGCGCTTCCATAGAAAACTCGATCTTACATATTTCATGCTTCGCACCTGTTGCGTTCGTTACAAATAAACAATGTTGAAAAAAAAATAGTTCTATCTAAATTTTCGTTTCTCGATAAAAACTCGATCTAGGCAAACATGCCAAGCAAGACAGCTGAATATTAAAATAGCAAAATAACAAAACTTACGAAGCGGAAACAATGCCGAAAATCTCTGAGCACGCAACAGTCGAGCAGAAGAAAAAAACTTAAAAGTTCTAAGTCCCCGCAGAAACTACGATGAACAACATTGCAACAATTAAACTTGCTTACAGCGCTAGAAACAGCGGTCATTTGGCAACAAAGCCGACCAAACTCTAGCAGACAAACCAAAGTCCGACATTCAGTTTTACCGCAAAAAAAAATCAATTTCATGCATGCTGAAAAAAAACAAGGACCGGCCCGGACTCGAACCACAGACACCAGGGTGCGAAAACGCAACCATGATAGCTTTGTGCCATGTGGGAAGAAACCTGCAAGATAGTAAGGTTTAATAATAAAGCAAGTTCAATTCACAGACTTGTAGGAAAAGTTGTTTACGGGAAAAAGTCTAGTTCCCGGTTACAAGACACTTGCTCTCGCAAGTGTAAAAACGCAACATTGTATAAGTGTAACCAGCTGCTGTGAAATAGCCAAAAAATTTTTGGCTGAAGATTCTGTTCCAAAAATGAAGAAAGCAGCGAAAATATTGCAGTAATTAAAAAGCTAAATGTATTAACAATCTTTTAACATTTTAACACAGATAGCTTTTTATTATTGCTAACACAATTGGAAAAGAGTAAGTGAAATCACGGAAACCAGAAAAAATTCAAGGAAACCAAAAAAAAACAAAAGAAGTCACGGAAACCAAAACCCCAATTACGCTAAGAACGCTAAATAAAAAGCTTTATGTGTACAACAACATTTGACAACTAAGTTCACTTTCTAGATCCTCTAGCATAAAAACTGAAATATGAGTCTTTTAGCAGACCAACGTAATAAAGTGATGAATGATTGACTGACAGACTCAAAATAACGCTCAGTCTGGGCCAAGCTTCCCCAATTAAGTCAATTATCTCATGATTTGTCAACAAAACTATCAACTTTAAAGACACAAAAGTAAAAAAAAAAAACAATAACAAAATCAAGTTAAGGGTTCCTTCTGTCTTGTCGACTTAGCTCAGCGGTAAAATAGAGTCTGCTAAAAATCCTAGCACCTTTTTGAACATTCTAAAAAAACAATGAAATCAAGTTGAGGGTTCCTTCTCTCTTGTCTACTTAGCTCAGCGGTAAAATAGACAGATCATCACACAATTCGTTTTTAATCAATTTTTGGGAACCAAATTACGACTACAGGGTTTTTAATACAATACGCAGCGTCAGGTCATAGAAATTTGTAGAACTATTATAAGCATTTCCCGTTGGGTAAAAGAACTGGTGAAAAAAACATCAACTAAAAATGGCTTCTGATGACCGTATCGGATTGAAAAAAAAAAAAAAAAAACGATAACTCCTGGAGTTCATTCACTGTGATTAAGGGTAAATACTTGACGTTTTCATACGAAACATCACTTGCTTTCAGACATCACAGAAAAGCTCGTCAAGAAAAACTCAATTCTCAAGAATGGCTTTCAAAGAGAATCAGCAAAATCTAAGTATTTAGAAGTGTTGTTCTCGACGTAAAACTATTTTCAGGATTTTTTTTGAAGACCCAATCATGCCAAAAGTGGCTTCAAAATTCATGATAAATGGTTCGCAAGGAAGAAGCATAGCCAACACACAATTGGAAACAAGTCAACGAACGCAAGGAAACAGAAAAAAAAACTTTTTTAAATAAATAGCTTCAACTCTCGAATTTCGAAACAATGGATGGACTTAAAGATCTTCAAATTTCAAAATTAAATTGTGATTGACTTTTTTGCTCAAACTATCTCAAATTGACAAAATCGCATCCATAGGTAAACTTTTCAGTCAGCTGGGAAATCTGAGAATTTAAATCTAATTTCCAAATTAGAAGTCAATCACGTATCACGTTTTTCCTGGCCGTTACACTTTTAAAGTTCGATAGAATTCGTCTTCTTTTTAACAGAGGAAAGGAAATGAACTTTTAAAAAATTAAAATAAAAACCGCTCGAAGTCAAATTGGAGCAAGGAAAAATTTTCGAGAAAAAAATTTAAATCACGGCCTATATGAACATCAAAAGTCAAAATGGAGCTTGAAAAATTCTTTTAAAAAAATTTGAAATCATTACCGCCTATATTTGAGAAAATTGGCTCAATAACTTATTTTTTTATTCTGCAGGGGAATCTGAAAATGAAATCTATTTTCGAAACTTGAAGTCGATAACGTTTTTCGAAGCCTCTACAATTTGCTGTTCGATAGTTGAGCTTGTCTTACATAAAACTAACATCAAACCGCAAAACATTAAAATTAAGCGTAGAAAAATTTTCCCGCACGACTCAAATAAAACCACGGCCTGCATAGTGACTTCACTACGTTCATAACTTGAAAAGAAATTCTTGGGGAAAAATGAAACTTGCGATTGCAGGTTTTGAACAATAAAAAACTTTTTCCTGAATAAATTACACCGATTACCATTCCTGAGGAGAGTTACCCACCTCAACATGTCCTACACTGGCTTGATTGATTTCGAAACTTTTCAATGTGAGCAGTAGAGATAACTGGGCTCCAACACTTTTGTATCAAAACTCAGGTTGCAAGTTAGTGAAAAAATTTCAGTTCGGTGGTTCTCTTTTGGAATAACTTACATACCAAAGTTCGAAATTTTATGCACAACTTGCATTCAAGAAAATTTTAAGCAATCATCTGTTTGGGAACTTTTTACCTCATCTTGATAAAATAGTGTGTTTTATGGTTGAGAATAGAAACCAATCGACTGCTCAAAATTGAGTTTCAAACAATAATATGTCACCATCAGGGACGAATTTTACCTCTAATATCCCCTCCCCACGCCACTCCCAAAGATTTAAACATCTCGGCGCCTAAAGGGTCCCCTTTAGTACTAAAACAACACATCCACTTTCAGCCGACAAACACTTAGATTTTATCGAAGGCGCATACATATACTAACTGGTTGAAAAAAAAACGTTAGGTCAAAACAGTGCCAAAAACATACTTTTGACTGTTTTCCAAAAAATTGCCTGAGGGGCAGAAAGTTTAGGCTATAGGTGGTTTTAATAGTGTTTTGGGAGAGCTCGCAAAACGAGTTTGGTCGAATTTTTTTTTGATGATAGGCGGTTTTCTTAAACACATCCTGGAACACTGGGTAGATTTTATTTCTAGTTTTGCGCCATTTGTACTTCAATTATGGGGATACGCTATTTGCCTCACTAATTTATGTTCACTTGAACAGCCAAAAGATGGATGAAAACGTGTAAACTCAGAGGAGAAGCTGTGCTTCGCAAAAACCAAAATACGACAAGAAGCAGCTTTATAAAGTGAAATACGAAAAGATGAAAAAATCCTCGAATAAGTATAACTTTGCTATGAATGGGCTTCGAACCAGCAACTTTGAGAACTGCAGTCTCACGTTCGGCCCTCTCGGCCATGAACGCTTAACAGCAAACACTAGTCAAAATTAAAGCAGCTACAAATGCTAACAAATTGCCAATGCCATGCAGCAAAAGTGGCACCAAATACAAAGACACAATTTTGCAAGTAATAATTTCAAATATAACAAATTGAAGGCATCCACACTAATTTTGCATCTAATAAATTGGAAAGCAGAAAGCCACATTATGTATAAATTATGTATTTCAAAAAATGCGAGGTATAATGAGTTAGAAAATTTCTGAAATCGAGTTTTTTTTTTGTTATGTAGTTTGAAACAAATAGCTTTTTTCGGTTCATTTGATGAATTTAAAATGCATCAACTGTGTTAGCTTAATACTATTAGAAAGTCAAAGCAGATGCTATCAACGAGCCGTATAGGTGCCCTTAAAGTAGCGCCAATAATTAAATTAGAAAAAACGATAGTCGTTGTATACCACTAACGCTCACTAAAGTTCGCTGGAGTAAAAAGACATTGATAATTTTGAACATTTTTTCATTTTTCGACAAAAAACAGCCAAGAAACAGTTAGAAAAGAACGCACGGAAACAGAAAACTTCCGAATTTCAAATAACTTACAATATTCAGAGAACGTCTAAGCCCTTACGGCTCATCGAATTACAAAAACAACTAATGCTTGACGTTGTTTTATTGAATCACAAGGTAATTTTTTTTATTGAAATTGAGTCACGATTCCGGCAGGAAATCTTAAAATTAAAACCCATTTTTACAAGTGGACGCCGGTCAATATTTTTCAGACTGTTATACTTTTGTTCCGTACTATAGCGAAAATCGCCTTTCAATTTACAAATGAAATGATCTGAACTAAAAAAAAAATCAAAAGTCAAACCGCGAAAAATCAAATTTGAGCGTGAATAAATTTTTAAGACTTTTCCCGAAAGTCTTAAAATAAAACGACCTTTATAAGTGCAAATCACTTCGTACAAACACTTTTGGATATTATCAAAGAGCCTTTCATGCCCTTTATTAGTAGTACAAGAAAACATATTACACCAAAAAGTGAATTAAACTACTTAATTTAAACTAATACAATTCAGAAGACCTAATCATCTTCTAATTCAAGTATAACTCAAGTTATAAACTGTGTGCTCTTAATAGAGCAGCAAGCATACCATGGCTGCGGAATAAGCTAACGTATAAATCACATTTCCATTTTCATTAAGATGAATAATTAGCACCTGATAGAGTTGTTCTGCTGTGTTAATTAACTATAGAGCTTCAAGATCGACAGAGAAAACGCATGACACCAACATTTATGAGTGTAATTGTAAGGTTCTCATTTCCCGAAAGGAAAACCGCAAAATTAAAAAATAATTCCAATTTCATCCGAACTGACATATAAATTTAGCATCTGGGAATAATAAAACGGGACACTAAGTAAAATTCCCGATGATCACAAAAATAGAACTTATTTCAGTTTTTTTTTCAATTTAGATACTTCTCAAAAAAGGACACAAATTCTCGATTTGCACAATGAACAATAAGAACGATTCCCCTTTAAAATTTCATCTCATTTAACTGGCCCAAAAAATAATCAGATAGAAATTGTGATATGAAAAAAAAAAATGCATTGAAACTTAAAATCCATCAAACTGTCAAACCAAAACCTGTTTCCAAAGGTATGTTATGGAATTTGATTTCCTGTTCATCCTTTTAATTTTTCTATCTCTGCGTTGATTTCTATCACTACTTAAAGTTTCCTGTTTGATTAAGGCTAAAAATTAACTACACTGAACACCCAACCGTCTCAATTCGAACCGAATCAATCAGTTTCGATTGAACTTTGCAACTCATGTTCAGTACTTCCACTTGCACAGAGCTTCGTTTCTACTATCTGGGGCCAGCTGGTGAGAGACACCGTCTATTACTGTTGATGTTGCCTCGCTGGCCAGAATCACAGGAGCAATCAAGGTAGGCGGGATCTGACGCAACACTCCGCCCACTGCTCCTGTGAGTCCCCGAGTGTCCCTTCCGTCGACTGCTTCTCGCACCAGAGTGATAGCGGTATCATTGAGCCCTAATCGGGAAAAAGCTGATATATAACAAATGACCCGAAATATATTTAATTTAATTCACTAATTGCTTTTGTTATACACCAGTAGTTGTCTGCATTTTTCTTATTGCTTGTTAATGCCAAAATAGGGTCAAAGGTGAACTTGTGTCAATTTCTTTGATGAATCAAAAACATTAACGAAGCTTCAAAACATTACATCTAACAAACAGACCTTCATATAGTGTCCTATATGCCATGTTGAGTCCTTCTCTGAAATCGTTGGGTTGGGCCGAGTGTCTCGAATGGGGTGCTGGCAATGTGGACCTCGGGTTTGGCGACAACAGGTCGAATGCAGTCTCGGCCGTGAACTGGATGGCACTGATGAGCCGATTAGTCAGCTGGAGTGCAGCCGATGTTGAGGATGTAGTGAATGATGCAGCTCCTCGCTGGAACCCCTTAAGGAGTCTCCCATCTCTCCTGTACTGCTCGATGGGCATACAAACCAAGTCCACTAGTCCATTCACTAAAAACATCAAAAGTATAGACTGAAAAAAATAGAACTTCAGTGCTACAATGAATATAGCCCGAAAGGATGATATGATTAGCTTGGTTTTCTAATTGAAATAATTCTTACTGATTTGGCTGAATGAATGCATGGGTCCAATGCCTCCAAGTAAGGTAGGAATTTGATTCTTCTTGATATCTCGCAGCCACTCCGTCACACAATACATGGCTAGATTGTCAAAACCCAGGATGCTAAAAAGTAAAAACTTTTGTACAAAATTAACACCGAAAGCGCCAATTCGTAGGCTTTTGGAGTTTTTAAGATAATTGCAGGCCATAGCGAGTAATGCGGTCAATATTTTCCTATAAACTGCACACAGTTAACACTTAGGATTCTAAAATCAATAAACCTAGACACATTTTCAAATTTAGCCAACAGACAGTTGGAAAAGCGTCAATGAACGCAAGTGAACAGAAAAAAAATGACTTACTTTTTTTTCAAAAAAATCTCAGCTTCCGAATCAAGAAAAAAAAGGTGCCCTCCAGTTTTTTGTAATTTCTAAAACAATTTATGATTGACACATTTTTGATAAAATTAACCCAATTTGAGAAAACTGGATCAATAGGTAAATGTTTTATTCCGTTGGGAGATCTGAAAATTAAATTCCAGTTTCAAAACCAGAAGACGATCACGTTTTTTGTTACTTTTACTCTTTTGCTGTTCGATGAAGGCGTTCTCCTTCCTTTTAACAAAGGAAATGAACTGAACTTGAAAAGAAAACAAGTCAAACAGCGAAAAAGTGAAATTGCGCCTGAAGAAAGTTTAAGACTTTTCCTGAAAAAAAAACCAAAAAAAAACATCGGCACCTATATAAAGTCTGAACTATTTTCATCGACTCTAAGAAAACCCTAAATTACGAAAGTCTTAAATTCCGTAACTTAGCTCATTGAAAATCAAAATGATTTGATTTACATTAAAACTGTTTGAGCTGTATTTTTCACACTCACACACACACACACACACACACACACACACACACACACACACACACACGGATAAGCCGAGGAATTATACCTACCCGTGATTGGCTTCCAGCCGCTTGAGGACCAAGTGTGAGCATTGAACCTGAGCCAGACCCACGAGCAGTCCCATCATCTTGCCCCTGTCCATGTCGAAGTACTTCCCGTGGTAGTCGAATTTGATCATGACGTCCGACAGAAAAGTGAACTCCCTAGAAACATAAGTATACAAAAGTTACACTTTTATCACTTATGAAACACAACACTATAAATATGCAGTCTTATAAGAAAAGGTAACGTATTAATTAGCAAAGCGTTAGGAGAAAACGGCTACAAGTTCAGCTGGATGTAAACTTGGGAAAAAACCATACTACTATGAGCTTCTCTTGTTACTGTAAGCTTCGAAAGCCAAAGCTTGAAAACTAAGCAATTATTGCAGCTAACTTCTACTGAAAAGGTGCAAAGTTGTACTGCTCAACATGCCAAGCAAATCGGCGAAATAGGGTTAAAATACATCTCCATTGATACATCCCATTTTTCTTTCTCAAATAGTTACCACATACATCTTGTAATAGGAAATATCAGGCAGCAATGACTGCGATTTTATAAAGCAAATACAACAAATGCAGCTAACTCGTTCGCCAAATAGAAACCTTGAAAAAGAACATGAAAATTGATCCAAGATTCGGAACCAGTTAAACCGTGATGAAACAGCTTCAAATTCGTGTGCAAAAAGCCGTATGCAAAAAATTTTACTATTTGAAAACCCTCGAAGAAAACTCATTTTGATACTTGGTAGTTTAAATACATCTTCTAAACAACCCGCAGCTTTAAGAAATAGGTTCAGCCCAATTTGGGTCAACGCAAATTCTAAATAACAGCAGAGATCGATCTTCAAGCATTTATTTGAAAAATTGACTTCAGTTTAAGCACGATTTTTTTAAAAGTTTTTTTCGAAAAACGTTTTACGGCTAACATGTTCCTATATGGCACTGCTGCCAATAAAATCTGTATTTTTTGTTGTACCTGAAATAGTTCGTCAACAAACTTCATTTTGAAGGTTTGTACTGTGCTAATTTAAATTATTCGGACTAAAAGGAAAAAAACTTGAATTTTCAAACACGTTTTTCTCAATTTGGGTTAAGATTAGACAAAAACGAAGAGAACAAAAGTTGCTTAGAATTTCATCACAATTAATATGGTGCAATTTTTGCTCCGAAATTCTCAACCAAAACTTTGCCCAAAAAATAGGTCATTTTGGCTTTTTTCATTCAATCAAGAATTAAACTGAAATTATTTTGTTAATTGATGAGAAATATATATCACAAGAAGCCTCTTACACAGCCCAACAAAATTCTAAAGGGCTAAATCTCCAAAAACCTGTATAAGAGATAATATTTTTGCTTGATAGTCAAGAAACGTGATTGTTACTATGTAAAACCCAAAATATTTACTTTAAAAAATATTTCAAACAATTTACTCAAATTTTGGGAGATTTAGCCCTTCTAGAATTTTGTTGGGCTGTGTAAGAGGCTTCTTGTGATATATATTTCTCGTCAATTAACAAAGTAGTTTCAGTTCAATTCTTGATTGATTGAAAAAAGCCAAAATGACCCATTTTTTGGTTGAGAATTTCGAATAAAAAATTACAGCATATTAATTGAGGAAATTCTAAGCAACTATTGTTCTCTTCACTTTTTGTCTAATCGTAACCCAAATTTAAAAAGAACGTGTTTGAAAATTCAAATTTAAATCAGCTCTGTACAATGCATGAAAAATAACATCAGCGAAAGTAAAGAGAAGAAGAAGAGCATCGATTCAATTGTTATCGCATAAGTGCTAAGACAAAAATCGACTTCATGATATTCATTAATTTCATCATGAAAACCATGATTTTCTAGGTTACTAAAAATCAACACCAAAAAATCAAAACACATGCAAATATGAAAACAAGGATAGGCCGTTGCTGTGCAACTAGCAAGAAATTTCGGACCACTTATTTGTTTTTTTTCCATTTTAGCCCGAAAAAATTCTGTTTCTCTATCCTGAAAAATGCACAAATTAAACGTATTTGACATCTAAGGTAACTTGAAGCTTGCCGAGGAATTAAAATTTACGGTTCCAGTCAGTCTCTGATCCAGTCAGTCTGTATCTCATTTAGACTGAACCTCGAATCTAAGAAAACATTGTTTTTGTGTGAGATTTTTTCAGGAAACTTTACCCTTTTTTTGTGAAACGAAACAAAATTATTGTATCCGCACAGAGCCTTAAAGCTTAAGTCCTAGCTCTAGTTCTTCTCATTTTTATTCGGAAAAATTGATACCATTTTGCAAGAAAATTTTCAATTTCAAGAAGTCGATTAACACTGATTCAAGTGGCGTATAATAACGTTTAGTTTGCGTCAAGTAACTCATCTCAGCACAACACTAAAAAAATTCAGACTTATCAGAAACAAAACTGCTCGTTCTGTTTTTATAAATTAAGAATAGTTTCCAACGCTAGAATGAAAGTTCAAAATAAATGAACATTTTTAATGAACAATTTTATTTGCCGGTTAGGATAGAAAAAAAGGTTCGGAACACAACACTAGGCTGACGCTAGTTTAAATAAAATTGAATCTAAGAAAACAAAGAACAAATTTTCAGAAATTTATATGTTTGACCTTTCGTTGATCAAACTAAACAGGTTTGAAACAACCGCATCAAAAGAATACTTGTGTTCCTCTGAAACAAATTGAAGTGATGACTAAAAAATCAAACTTTAAACCAAGAAACACCAGATCTCAGCGTGAACTAATTTAAATAGTTTTACCGGAAAAAAAACAGTAGAAGACAACGACTTTTGCAAGTCTCTTCTCTTCGTTCATTCACAAAATAAAATTTAACACAGAGGGGAAGCGGAGCTTAGCACCAGTTGCGACAAATTGAAAAGAAAGCCAAAAAAATTTGTTGAAAAATCTTGATTATTCAAAATGAATTCAACTATTTTAAAAACAAAAACATGCATGTCTATAGATAGTAAAACTGGCATCATAAAAAAACTTACCAAGTGGTAAAAGCCCAAAAACACCAGAGCAGGAACCATTTCAGCCAAATAAAACATAGGCCAACCACTAAGTCGATAAAATATAGTCCGAAATCATTTGAGCAGAATAGAAATTTTAAGCCAGAAAAACAACAAAGAAAATATTCGAAGTCAAGGCTAGTAAAATTACAAGCAGCAGAAGTAAATCAAAACAGTAAAAACAACGTCAACTTAAATTGCATACAGCAAAAAAAAAACAATTCTATAATGTTGCCAGCAAAACATAAGCAGACAAATAATAAACCGACAATTGATTTCAAACGGATTATTTCCCGTTGGAAGAAACAAAACAGTTCCTGTCAGATTCGAACCCAGGATCTTTGCCGTCAATGGTGTATTAGTGGGCCGAGACGCAAAAAAATTTGAATTCATAATGATCTGCACCTAAAGTTATCATTTCTAATTTTGACTATTATGTGAACAAAATTAATTATGGGAGAAAATTGAATACCCGGTTGCAACACACTTGCTTTGCAGGTGTAATTAATGTCCACGCCACTCAGCCACATTTGCTTCAAGCTTCCAATTATTTACAACCAATAAACCGGATACATAGAACACATGCTATTAAGTTGCTATGCTTTGCATGTAGTAGAACTGCCACCAAAAGTGAGCACTAATTTATGCAAGCTGAGTTGGAACAAAAGAACTATGGTACTATAACACTACGCTCGCATGTGTAAAAATACTACAAATTCGTTTAGCTTTTTCCGCTCAAAATTGTCAATTTCTCGATTTTATAATACTCCAAAAATGTAGAAAAGCAGAATACCAAAAACTAATTGGTTCGGTTAACACAAATGCGATCACTAAATTCTTTAGCCGATTTCTAAACATAGCCAACAGACAGATGGAAAAGTGAATGAACACAAGTAAACAAAAAACTGACTTGTTTTTTGAAAAAATCTCAACTTTCGATTTCCAACGAAAAAAAATAGATGACATTTAACTCTTTGAATTTCTAGAACAATAAATGATTGACTCTATTTTGATAAACCTTACCCAGAGAAAACTGGATCAATAGGTAAAAATTTTATTTCGCTGAGAAAATCTGATCATTAAATTCCATTTTCGATCTTAGAAGTCGATCACATTTTTCGGGACTTTTTTCTTTTGCTGTAGGATAGTGGAGTTTGCCTTTGTTATAAAAAAGGAAATGATATGAACTTAAAAATAAACCAAAAATCACACCGCGAAAAAGTAAATTTGAGGCTGAAGAAATTTAGCACTTCTGAAAAAATAATAACAAAAAAAGAATCATCGCGACCTATATAAGAGTCTAAACTGCTACATTCATCGACTCTTAAACGTCCAAAATTTGTAAGGTGATCTCTTTTGGAGCTATTGTTTTTTTTCTGGTCTCGGTAAAACTCATCGATTGTTTTTGACCCCACTAACTTTATGAAACTCGTCGATTGTTTTTGTGTGCTCGTAGCCGACGAGTTCCTCGACTTGAGCGGAGAGCCAGTAGATGATTTACAAGATGTCGGCAACATCCTTTGCCTTACATTACTCCCGTCTCCTCCAGACAGATTCGAACAGTTTCTACTACTCGAATCTTTTCGTTCATCAGAAGTTGAAACACCGGGAAGCTCAACCTTGAGCTTAGATGCATCTGTATTTTTGAAGGAAACCCTAGCTGATCGTTTGCCGTCTGATTGTTGCATTGAAAACTGCACTTTTCCAGCTTTCTCTCCTCCAAAATCAGAACTCGGCAGACTAATCTTGTTCTTTTCGCTGTCGGAGAAGAAATCTGAGAGGAAGAACACCGTTCGCTGGTCGAAGTTGAGTCTAATCGGCAGTAAATTCAGGCGCACTATGTATTCAGAACCCTCCTGAGTGAGCTCGGAAGGGACACATTCGAGGTATTTGAACATGACCTAAATGTCAGGAAAATGGTAAAATTGATTAGGTTAGCTTGTGGATGCTATGCAGCTGATAGATTATGTATCATAAGCGTTCTTGCCAGGGGCGGATTTAGGGGGGGGGGACGCCCCCCCCCCCCCTCAGGGATTCGACCCCCTGCCGACCCAAAGGGTCCCCCCTTTGGTACTTTTTAAGAAATCCATTTGTTGCCGACCGACCCTAAAATTTTTATAATGGCGCCTTTGGCGCCAATATATACTAACTTTAAGGGGGAGCGCGCGCCAAAAAAACGCGATTTTTTTGTCAAAATTTTTCAAAAAGTGCCTAAAAACGGCTTTTTTGACCCGTTTTTTCAAAAATTTGCCTGCGGCGCAGAACTTTTGGCCAAAACAGGGACCTTTTAGTGCTTTAGACGAGCTCGGAAAATCAATTTGGTCGACCCCCCCCCCCCCCCCATCCCCCTCGAAAAAATCTTAGATCCGCCCCTGGTTCTTGCAATGAATTTTTTCTTTGCCAAAAAGGCTCGCTATATTTTCGGCTTGTTGAGCAACGGCCTTAACTTTGACCCCTCTTTAAATTAAAACTATTTCTAAACTGTTTTCCAGTGATTATCATTAAAATTGTTTAAAATGTTATATCGAATTTTCGAAAACTCAAATTCAACCTCACCGACCCTCGTTATTACAAACACGAAAAAAATCTACATTTCCAAAAAAAACATTGCGTTTTTGTACTTTCTAGTTTGTTTAACCGTGGAATATTTTGTCGAATCATTTTTTGCTATATGTTGAGCGAACATCTGAAATTATTACACAATATTTTGGTGCATATTGAGTTCGGGGTTTTGCGCAAACTTTCATGTAAACTTTCCATTAATTTTTCAATATGACTGCTTACTTTTCTAAATTGATTGGAACGGCAACTGTTCAATTGTTAGGCTGGGATTTAGCAAGCCTGAAGGCCTATCATATCAGAAATTAATTTGCAATATTTGTTCAAAAATTCGAAAACATCGTTTTGCAAAAGTATCTATAATTTTGTTAAATTTTCCCAAACATTCTTGTTATTCCCAAATTATGAGGAACATCCAAATATAACGAAAAGTCTCCTCATTTCTGCATCATTAAAGTTCAAAAAGAAGATGGATGATAAAACATTACATAAAACAGCCCGATGAATGCTGACAAAATAAGCCAAATCGTTTTTAAAAACATCCAAGATAAATTATGATATACCAAGAACTCGATAAAAAACTTTGCTCAGTGCCCTAAAGATGACGTCCACGAACCCTAATGCAATCTTCAATTTCCTTTAACAACCGACTTACCATGTGCGAGTGCGCCTGTCTGAGACAGTTCTCGGCTGAGTAGCAGTAGAGCATCTTGTTGATGGAAGAGGCAGCGATCCTGTCCAGTATCTCCACGTCATCACACGCCACTGCCAGTCTAGAGAGGTACTTTGAGTCGTCATAGCGATCGTAGAGAAGCTCAATCTACAACACAGGACCAATACTCAATGCAGAGTCAACGACACCCAAAGTCATCCGCACTTCAAAAGTACAATTAAGTACATTTTTCTATGTCAAGTAATTTTTACCCGGCTCTAATACTTAAAAAAAGAGAGAGGATAATTTTGAAGGTCAGTGACGCTCTGGATATAAAAATGTTGATAATATCCAATAACTAACTTATATCCAAGCGCTTTGTAACAAACCTTTTGAAAGCACACTTCTACTGAATTGCTCTTATCTCTTCCAAACTGCATTCCATTCACGCCTAGAACAGATTTATCTGCATTAAAACTATTATTTAAAATCTTTTTCAGCTCTGACAGAAAAATAACTAACTTGGGAAGTCATTACCGGCATACAACTTCCATGATATATTGAACTCCTGGATATTATATTTACAGACAGGATCCGGCAAGTAACTGGCAGATTTCAATCGATCTCGCTTGCCAGAAATTGGCTCTGCGAAATGCTCTTCAACTAGCTTCAGTTCTCCGTCGTCGTGAAATAAAATAGAACATTCGCCCTCGTAAGAACTCCTGCGCACGAAAGGCGATTCAATCACGCAAAACTGAGACGCGACGAGCAAACCCTCGACTCCGCCCTCAAATGAATCGCTTGGCGACAACGTCAAGACAGCTCGCGAATCACTTTTTGTGTACTCTTTCTTTTCGCAATCGACAACATGGTCGGCTGATTGACCAGCACTGTCTTCTGATGAGCTGGAGTGCGGATTCTCGGTCAACTGAACTGGTTTGGCGGCTGCAACTGAGTCGTCTGGGAAGAAAAAGGCATTTTTCGTTGCTTCTATGGTATAATCTGGATGCACACCTTAACGCAATGAACTTTTGATATCAAGTTATCTTAACTTTGAAGCACGTAAATTAGGAACCTTATTTAATGCTTAAACCAATAGAAAATTATATAGACCTCACTTTTGGAACAGTGATACACTTTCTTTAACCTATTACTAATAGTAAGATTTATTGAAGCATTTCTGTCAGATTATAGAGTGCTCCTCCCATTGAAAAAAAACAGCCAATTTTTTTATGAACACTTACTTGCGCACAAGTCTTCGTTAATTGCGGACTGAATCATCTGGTTTAAGTTCACTGAGTTATCATCAATGTCATCCTTCAAACGGGTTCCTCTCACTTCAACCGGGGACCTCGAGGACACATCACAGGACTCATCGACGCGTGGACTCTCTGTCATCTCGCTAGCTTCCGGAGGAGCGCCTTGCGAAGACTCCCCCAGCGACAGAGGCTTATCCCCCGGACAGTCTCCATTGGCAGCTAAATACTGGATGACTTCGAAAAACACTTTGAGAGAGTCACTGCACGTGTAGACGTTCAGAATGTCACAGCTCAACCTTATTTCCTTCTTCTTTTTATCCGCAACTTTTTTGGTTATCACTTCTAACGAAACAAGTCCCGTTTCCACCATCTTAGCGAAATCTAAATACACAAAGCATCCTCCATCATATATTATTGAACAAAGCTGCAACGAAAACTAGGGGTTTAATTGTTCGAAACCAATAAATCATTTGGTAATTCAACGACCATATTTTTTAGCTACAATGAATTTATATTCAAAACGAAAGTTTTAACACAGAGGCGAAGCGGAGCTTTGCACCACTTGTGATACAATACAATCATAAAAATGAAAAAAGTTGGAAAAAAAAATGGTGAAACAAAATGAAGGACAACTAGGGCCCAGCTAAAGCTGGAGGCATGTGTTTGATTTTTTTGAATGTAGTTATAATGATGCGGTACGAACTGCGTTATTTCAAAAATTAGACTTTGCCCAAAACCTTAGTTGTTTCTCTACCAAAATAAGAGTGAAAATTTCTGAGATTTTGGAATTTTCCCAAGACATAACAATTCTCTTACAAAAAAAGGAGTAGCCTAGAAGAAACTATTCGTAGCAAATTGTACAGCTAAGCTTCCATCAAGCACAACCGGTTGTGTCGATTAAACCTATGATATCAGATTTAATAGGTTATTTATCGAGGCAAGTCCAAAAAACGGTTAACAAATCATGCGACAATTCCGAGAATCATAACTTTTTGGTTTTATAAAATTTGCGCAAAGCCGTCTATGCAGGAGAAAAACGCTCAACCGGTAATTCCGATTGAACCCAAAAACCCAGGTTTGGCAGGTTAGTTCGATAAAAATCAAAGACTCAAAAAAACGGTCAAAAAATCAGAAATTTTACTATTCCGAGGTCCATAATTTTTTAAGAAAAAAATGTTTGGGCGTAGCCGCTGATATAGGGGAGCTTTCAAATCCGTTCTATTCATTGAAACCAAAATCTCAGATTTGGTGGGTTAATTTTTGAGAAAACGAAAAAACATCAAAAATATCGGTCAAATATTCCCCCGTAGACTTTTTCGAAGGCTGTAGAAAAAGGGGTTAAGCAAAAAGAGACCAGGGGAGTATGCAATAACACAAGCGAGTAGGCGCTCTTTCTATTAAAACTCCTTTTTAAAAGTTGGTAAATAGATTTTCGAAACTTAATTTTTTGCCAAAAGTGATAAAATGTTCCAAAGCTTTTTTAAAAAAACCATTCCCATACAATTTCATGAAAGCTGTTGTTTATCAAACAGGAATTGTAGGCAAACAAGCCAAGCAAGACATTTGAAATTCAAAATAGCGACTCAACAAATTTTACGAAGCGGAAACAATGCCGACAATCTTTGAGCAGACACCAGTTGAGCCGGAAAAAAAACTGACTTCGTAAAAAAAATCTTTTAAAGTCTTAAGTCGCCTCCTCAAACTTCTCTGTAAGTAACTAGTAACCACCCACTAGTTAACTTTGAATTTTCATTAAATTGAGCATCTCAGATGCCTAGTGATAGTAATTCATAAGTGAACTAAGCCAAAAAATACCTGAGCAGACAACCTTTGAAGAGAGCAATTACAATAAAAATTTACAATGACGTCCCAGGCATATTTGTTATCTCCAGGCTAATTTGGCCGAGAACGCATAGAAGTTTGAATTCATTATGAACCAAGATACAAGTGATTCAACTGATTTTGTCATTTAATTTTTAAAGTCTACATTCCGATTTGATAACGCTGACTAATCGCAAGCGTAAACAATTCGAAATCAAGAAATCATTTCATCGTTGAACGACTATCTAAGTTGGCCGTACAGTACATTGACAAACCCAAGTTCCTACCCGATAATCTGCTTTTTAGAGATCGAGAACAAGATATATAGAGCGAAGCCCCTTCGACGATAATCTGGAAAATTGAGTCAGTCGCGTCTGCCACGACGTTCGATGATAAGTAGCAACATCCTGTGTTCAGTAAAACGGTGTAAGGTAGATGCAGTGGTCTATACATGACTGCACAATTAGTTAGAGACAAGTGGAGCTCTGTGCAAACAGGGAGAAATTTGTATCCTGGGATGGGCTCGTCTTTCGGGCTGAACATCTCAATAAGGTCTTCGTACCACTGCTTCTGGTCAAATCTGTGCACTAAAGTCACACCCTCCGCATTCAATGCCACTTTTATGTGCTATAACAAGAGAGAACTCGTAGATTTTCAAAATTATTCGGCAAAATTATATAGCAATCTTCTGAAATGCAACAACTAGTGCCTAGATTGGATACGGCGGATCAAAAAACAGAAATATTCTGATGCAGGTTTTATATAGCCTATTCAAAATCTACAGCATTGAAAAAAACTCAACACAAACTTGATTCCTCGCAAGTAGATTCTAGTTTTCTTCGCAAATTCAAGTTCCTTCAAAAATCTAAAACCTTATAATGATTTACTTAAACCACAAAAAAGCGGATCAGGTTACATTTGAGAAGAACGTAACAAAGGGACTTATCTAAAACTTCTTTAAATGAGAGATCAATTGGTCTTCCAAAATTAAATGAAGCAGCCTTTGACTCGTGAATCACTATCTCTAATTCATCCTTATGATTGGGTTAGATCATTATCAAATGCTATGATAGATTTGCTACCGATGCTTTCACCAGGTGCCCATCCTATATAGCCTTCTAATATGGTGGCGTGTTGTGCTTACTTTGAAGTTCTTTGGCCTGTTTGCGTGTATCTTGACAGCGAGGGACAACAATGGATTGGAGAAAGAGTCTTGGTTTTCCGGCTCCATCAAGTCCAGTCTGCTTTTGCGCAGCTTCAAGTCCATGTAGCTGGGGAAGAGAGCTTCCAGTTTGTCATCAAATGAAAATGGGACACACTTGACATCTTCTGCAACACAATAGAGGTACTTATCTTCTACTTATAACTACAAGAATTGTTGAAGCCACGTTGTGTAAAAAAAATCGAAGCTTATCCAATCGATGATACACAATACTGAAAGAAATTTTTGTAACAGAGGCGAAGCTGAGCTTCGCGCCACTTGCGATACAAGAAGTATACGATTAAAACATCAAGACGCCCCAAAATTATCAAAGAGGACCGTTGAATAAAAAACTCGAAAAGCAAAAAATTGAAAATTGAAAGTTTTTTAACATAGGCGCTACGCGCAATACACCGAAGGCATAGAAACTGAAGCAAAAACCAAACAACTTGAACAACTAATAATTGAAGAATAACAGTTCTAGAACAAAAAATCGTACTAATACATGTATACACCAAAATTTTGCTATATCGAGAAAGAGCCTGAAATAACAGTTCTAGAACTAAAAATCGTACTAACACATGTATAGGTTAAATTTTTGATATATCAACGAAGATCATAAAATAACACTTCTAGAACTAAAAATCGTACTAACACATGTATACACCAAAATTTTACTATATTGACAAAGAGCCTGAAATAACAGTTCGTGAGCTAAAAATCGTACGAACACATGTATACACCAAAATTTTGCTATATTGGCAAAGATCATGAAATAACAGTTCGAGAGCTAAAAATCGTACTAACACATGTATACGTCAAATTTTTGCTATATTGACAAAGATCATGGAATAACAGTTCTAGAGCTAAAAATCGTACTAACACATGTATACACCAAAATTTTGCTATATTGACAAAGATCATGGAATAACAGTTCGAGAACTAAAAATGGTACTAACACATGTATACAATAAAATTTTGATATATTGACAAAGATCATGAAATAACAGTTCGAGAACTAAAAATCGTAATAACACATGTATACACTAAAATTTTGATATATTGACATAGATCATAAAATAACAGTTCGAGAACTAAAAATGGTACTAACACATGTATACGCTAAAATATTGCTATATTGACGAAGAGCCTGAAATAACAATTCTAGAGCTAAAATCGTACCAACACATGTATAAACCAATATTTTGCTATATCGACAAAGAGCCTGAATAAACGTTGTAGAACTAAAAATCTTACTAACACATATATACACCAAAATTTTGCTATATTGACAAAGAGCCTGCAAATAAATAAAGATGAACAAATAAAGAAACAAACATACGCAATCACGTGACATATCGCGATATAGTCCAGCCCACATGATAATTGATAACTGTGGACGTTATTTGTCGACACTTGACAACAGACAACATTAAAAAAAAACCCGTTACACGATACCATAACACCTTGACTAAAGTCTTCGGTGTAATGATTAAATTTAGGTAAGTTTTTTAAAGAGTTCTAAATGGGAGGATTGATTTCGAGCTTTCAAAACATTGGGGCCAACATTTTAACGATCTCATTAATAATATCGGAAATTTGTAGGAAAATGATATAGGGTAAATAAGCCGACAGAATTAAAGCCGACAGCCAATAAACTAAAAATCAAAAAAAGTTCTTTGGCAAAATCTTATTGGAAACAAGGATAACTGGTTACTGTGCAAGTTGCAGAGAATGTTCTGACCATATTCAAAAAAAAGTAGAGAAAAGAAGGTTTTTTTTACACCTTTTAAAGGGCTATGTAATTCGAGAACTATACGATCATATAGAAAATTAGTGAAATAGGCATTTGTTTTCAAAAAAAGAATAAAAAACAAAGAAAATGAAGAAAATTTTTTTAAAAATCAAAACCTTTTGCTCAAATATTTTTTTACAAAAGCTTTTTTGCCCCATAAGCGCTAAATGTTCATCTAAAACTAAAGTTTTTTTTATATTTAAATGATATTTTTTATCCTAAAAGTCTAAAAGAAGAAAAATTCTATAGAAGGAGCGTTACTCGCTGTTGTTGTAGCTACATCGATCTCTGATTGAATTAGAGAGATTGTTCATGTTTGAAAGATCGAGAGAGAGCGAATTTAAGAAATTTTGTTCTTGTCTGGTCATGTTGGTTTTCGTCTCGTTTAATCTATCACTGCAGCTCCCCCAGGTTCTCTAGCGGCAAAACCGACGTAGAAGGGGAGCCACCTTTTCCAAGGATAACGTCTGTACTGGTGTCGGCACCTTCCCTCTGTATAGCACACTCAAGAGAGAGGTTTCGGTGTGGTATTGAAACCCGTTCTAGGGGCCAAGTTTTCGGCGTGCGGAGAACCGAGCGAAACTCCATGCCCGGTTCAAGCAGGCAGTTTTTAGTTAGTGGGGAGGACCGAGAAAAACTCCCATTACATGGGGTTATGTGATAAGCTGCAGATGTTTGGCAGGTTCTTCGGGATTCTCCCATAAGCTCTCGATGGTAAGTGAGGTTGGGTGTACCCGGCAGTTAAACAGATGATCTGTGGTGTGTGGTCCTATGTAGCAACTTGGGCAGACATCGAGTATGTTGTTATTAAGCCTGTGGTGGTAGCTAGAGAGGTGAGTTGAGTATCTGAATCGCAGCTGTGACAGTGTGCATGGGAGTTTTCCAGTCAAGTTTGCTTTCATTTGGGGATAAAATTGGAGTTATTCTAGCAAGTAGCTTTAACTTTTCGTCAAGAAACTTTTGTACTTCTGTTGTGTGACGGTTTTTGATCCCGTTAACATATTCAAGCTTTGAGATGTTCTCCCGGTTTTCGTTTAGCAAACGTTCAATGTCAGGTTTGAAGTTACGCTCGAGGATTGGTCTGATGTTTCGATTAAAATCTTAGTAGTTAACAGTGTGGTGGTCAGCTATGTGCTCCTGGTAGCACCCGAGAAAAAACTGTTTAGAAAAAAGCATTTAATTGGGTTTTTAACCGGTAGAATTTAAGTTTCATCATGTAAATGTGTTATGTCACTCATTCGTAGGCATCCCGTAGTTGTTCTTAAGGCGTTGTTTTGCTTTACTTGTAAACGTTGCAAGTTGGTGTAGCTAATTGTGGGGGTCCGAATTGGAGCTGCGTAGTTCAGAACACTCCTTTATATTGCCTTGGAAGTTAAGCTGAGTGTTTCTTTGGAGCAACCCCAAGTAGTGTCGGCAAGTTTTTTTAGTACATTATTCCTTTTTTGTAGTTTGTTACAAATCTTCGTGCAGTGTTAGCTAAAATTCAATTTACGTTCGTTACTCGATCGCATTACTCGCTCGAAATGAGACTAAGTCTCAACAACATCAAACCACTTTTCTGGACACTGGTACGACTTTTATGTGTCGCTCGGATCACGACTGAAAGGGCGTTAGTATGCTATATCACTCGAACCGTACAGATAATTATTTCTGGTACCTGAGTTGGCGTGGAAAACAATAATCGGAACAAAAAATACACTTCCGTCCAAATAGTATGCACAAGGGCCATATATGTACTGAATGCAAGGTGGTATACACACTTCGAAAACTAAACCGAAAGCTTATTCGACAACCATACAACTGAAAAATCGGCAAAAAATGGGAAAAAAGGTTATTACCCGATTGCAATACCCTTGCTCATCACAAAGATAATGATAATTGTTGTTTTTTTGGACACAGAGGCGAAGCTGCATAACACTTCCGATACAAAAGAAGAAAGCCGCTAAGTCGGAAAAAAGTCGAAAATATGAAGAAGATCCATCAAAATGAATCAGGCTAGTTTTCAAACAAAAGCCAATACAATAGAATGTGAAATAAGCATCGGAAGAAAACTTACCATGCGGTAACAAAGCCGAAAAAACCTTCGCAGAAACTGTTTTGGCCGAAAACAATTAATAAAACTAGGGCTTACAAAAAGTTAACAAGTCCCCTCGCCCTCAAAACATACACGAACACAAATTTTTATTTGCTCGTTAAATCAAAAAAAAAATAGGCCATCAAGCCAATAAAATATAGGCCAAAAACAAGCAAGCAGAAAAAAGGAAGAAAAAACCAGCCGATTTCTCTTAAGGTGTTAGCAATTTTTTGAACTAGTTGCTAGCCCAAAAAAAAAATCTTATATGCCGATTTGATAACGCAAGCGTAAAAGAATATACCTAGGTAAACTAACAAGATTAACAAGCTGTGCAACTTTTGGTTCTACTTTGAATAGAAGTAAAATGCCTGCAGATAATAAAACGCTTAAGCAAATAGAAAAAGTTGATCGAAAATATCATCAAATCGTACCACTTTTCATCGATTATTTGTCAAAAAATTGAAGCATATCAATTTTTTTGCAGAAAAACCTGCAGACCAATTTTTCACGACGCGGTGAATTTCTCACGACTAAACGGGCTTCAATATCACACTTTACAGTTTTCGGTGCGAAAAAAATCGCTCCTTCCGTCTCGAAACAAAACAAAACACGTTTTTAAAGCAAAGAATCGACAGCGCATCAATTTGGGTTTATCAATTATCCGGACAAAGATTAACGGAAGTTGTTTGTAATAGTATTCAGCAGGGGCGGATTTAGGGGGGGGGGGGGCGGACGCCTCCCTCAGGGATTCGACCCCCTGCCGACCCTTTGATACTTTTTCATAAATCCATTTTTGGCCGACCGACCCTAAAATTTTTCTAAAGGCGCCTTTGGCGCCAATTTATACTAACTTTGAGGGGGAGCGCGCGCCAAAAAAAAACGCTATTTTTTTGTCAAAATTTTTCAAAAAGTGCCCAAAAACGGCTTTTTTGACTGTTTTTCAAAAATTTGCTTGCGGCGCAGAAAAGTTTGCCAAAATAGGGGCAAAACAGTGCTTTGGGAGAGCGCGAAAAATCAATTTGGTCGACCTAAAAAAAAAAAAGGTCGTCAAAATTTTGGAAAATTTTTTGAAAATCCGCCCCCCCCTCGAGAAAATCCTAGATCCGCCCCTGGTATTTAGCATAGCAAAAATTGTTTGGATCCACTATGTCTACTTGTATAGTAAAAACCAGAGATTTTCATTTTTACCAATTAAATTTGCAAATCTCGGTTCATAAAAAAATAATATCAGATACAGCTGAATTTTCCCCTCTTTACAAAAAAAAAACAATATTCCCGCAACCAAAACCTATTGCCACACTGGGAGCCGAACCAATTATCTGTAGCATCTAATAACTGCATTTATACCATACCTTCACTGTGGTAGCATTGTCCGTCGAAGCATGCGAAAGTGAGAAATGTGGTGGAGGGACATCCCCCGTGACCGCAAACAACAAACACACTTCCATTCTTCACGTCCGAGAACGACTGGAATGATACGCTTGCATTATTTTCCCTGCCATTGCCACGTTCACCCTGAAACAAAATATATCCACAAGGAATCAGACAAAATTAGCCGCGAAAAACTCTGGTATATGCGTAAGACTCCTCATGACCTTCAAAGTAACAAACAGACAGTCTCGGAAAAGACAGATTTTCTTGGAAATTTTGTTGGAAATGAATGTATATCACCTTCATTAAGCTTTTAAAATTTCACAAAGCTTAAAAAACTTCACAAAGGTTATATCATGGCTTACTCATAGTTCCAAATAGTTCATTATCAACAGTTTTTAATGAAAACTATCTACTAGCATTTATTTCTTTATGCCCTTAGAAAAACACACTTATCTTGTTTTTCAAAACCCCACGTGCAAATCTACAATTTTCTCGAGGCAGTGCAGATTTTCACAGAGAAGAAGCGGAGCTTCGCACCTCTTGCGATACAGCATAATAATAAAAGCGCGTAAGCCGAAAAAAAGAAATGAAAAAAGAACTAGGTGAACCAAAATTTTCGTATGTCTCGATGAAGGACACCTAGGGCTCGGCTAAAGCTGGCGGCACCTATTTGATATTTTTTGAATATATTATACTGATGCGGGACGAAATTCGTGTTTTCAAAAATTGGACTTAGCCACAAAACTTTAGTTGTTTCTCTACTAAAATAAGTGAGAAGATTGAAAAAAAACTTCCCAAAGACCTAATTTTTCTCTTACAAAAAATTAAGGAGTACCCGCTTCTGCATAAAAAAATCGGGCAACCGCTTCTTTCCATTGAATATTTCATCTCAATATTGATAGGGTTGTTTTTAGGAAAATTCAAGTTGTCCGGTAAGTAGAGAAGATTCCCAAAACCGGGTTTCTGGATTGAACAGTTAACTGAAAATTGGCACGGTATTAAAAACCATAAATTTTTTCTTAACAAAATGGGCGTAGCAAATTATGAAGGCATGCTTCCAACAACCTGTTGTGTCAATTGAACCTATGATCTCAGATTTGGCAGGATAGTTATCGAGAAAGGTCCAAAAAACGGCCAACAAATCAGAAAGTTGTCATTTCCGAGAATCATAGCTTTTTGTTTTTTTTTAATGGGGTTAGCCGCTTAAGCAGAAGAAACTTACCCAATCTATTATTTCGATTGCATCCAAAAACCTCGGTTTGTCAGGTTTGTTCGAGAAAAGCCAAAAATGTCAAAACACAATCAAAACATCAAAATTTTGACTTTTCCGAACCCATAACTTTTTGTGTCAAAAAAATTTAGGTGTAGTGTTGTATTCTAAGCAGCTTCTCACAGGAGCGTTCTTCGGATTGAACCCAAAATCTCAGATAAGAGAGTATTTTTTGGTTAGAGTCATGAACTTAAGAAAAACAAACAGTCCAAACTCAAAAAATTGGCTGTTACGAGGACGATAAATTTTTGTGTCAAAAACTGTGTCACCGCTCGTGCATGGGAGCTTCCCACTACCCATTATCCTCATTGAACCCACAACCTCGGGTTCGGGAGATAAGTTTTCGAGAAAAATCAAAGAAAGATTCAAAAAAAACTTGACTATTCCGAGGGGCCATAAATTTATGCGTCGAAAAAATTTGGACAAAACCGCTTACGGAGGGGAGTTTTAAATACGATCTTTTCGTTGAAACCACAATCAGAAAGAAATTTGGTAGGCTAGTTTTTGACAAAGCGAAAAAAAATCAAACATCGGTCAAACATTCCAGCAACCGACCTTTTCAAAGGCTGTAGACAAAAGGGAAAGCGAAAAGAGACCAGGGGAGTATGCAGGGACACACGAATGTAAGCGGATTTTTTTTATGGATACCCTTTTTCAAAATCGGTAGTATGAAAATTTTTGAAGCGTCTAAAAAATTAAAATAAAAAACCCATACTTTCATAATACGTGTTTTTATCAAACAAGAATTCTAGGCAAACATGCCAAGCATGACATTTGAAATTCAAATTAGCAACTGAACAAAAACTTACGAAACAAAAAAAAGGCCGACAATCTTTGAGCAGACACTAGTTCAGCCGAAAAACAAACTTTTGTACATAGCCAACTAAAAGTTGGCAAAGAGTATTAAACGCAAGGAAACTGAAAAAAAAACGGACTTGTTTTTTTCAAGCGCCTTCAACTTTTGAATTTCGAAGAAAAAAAAATAGAGGGCCTTAAAGCTCTTCGATCTTGTAGAACAATTAATGATGGACACTTTTTTTGTTAAAATTAACCCAATTTGAGAAAACTGAAATAAAACTTGAAACTTTGATTTCGCAGAGAAATCTGATAATTAATTTCCATTTTCGAAATCAGAAGTCAATCACGTTTTTCGTGACCTTTACATTTTTACTGTTCGATAGTGGAGCTTCCCTTCCTTTCAAACAATAGAAATGCACTGAAAATAAAAAGAAATCACAAGTCAAACCGCGAAAAATCTAAATTGAGCGTGAACAAATTTTTTCTGAAAAAACTTTATCTGAAAAAACAAAACAAAAAAAAAGTTATATTAAAAAAAACTGTTTTAATTGGAAAAAACCAAAAAACCTATGATTTAAAAAGTGAGCCAAAAACCCCATAGGATAAAAAAAGAAACGTTTATGAAACTTTTTTGAAAGCATCTTTTTTCCTGCCATTGGCATTTCTGTAATTGTAGAATCACGCTCTCCCATAGCAGAAATTCCAATGTCCGGAAAAAACCCCTTTTTTCCCCCTTTTTGGTTTCTTTGAAAATTTTGTGAAAGTGAACAAGCAAGCGTCAAGCATCTTAATCATATGCATCCATGGCCTCTTGTGGCTTTCTACTCTCATGCATAGTTTATTCTTTGACCTGAAGCAGCTTAGACTGGGCTTTAATAAAGCGGATATAATTAGCTCATGCTCATCAACGCATTAACTATAAAAAAAGAAATGAAAAAAGAACTAGGTGAACCAAAATTTTCGTATGTCTCGATGGAGGACACCTAGGGCTCGGCTAAAGCTGGCGGCACCTATTTGTTATTTTTTGAATATATTATACTGATGCGGGACGAAATTCGTGTTTTCAAAAATTGGACTTTGCCACAAATTTATAACAAAGCCAACAGAAGATTGGAAAAGTGTAGAAGAACAAGGAAACCGAAGCACAGTTGATTGAAAACTTTTCATATTTAGTGTCAAAGAAAAAAAATATATCAAATTATAGCGCTTTGATTTTCAAGAGAATTTTTCTTTATTGTCACTTCTTCCTTAAAATAATTCAGCGTAAGAAAACTGGAATTATTTATTCCGCTGGTAATCTAAATATCAAAATCTATTTTCGAATCTGGAAATAGATCATGTTTTCTCGCGCCATTTCGCTATCGTAAATGGAGAACGCAATTTGCCAGCCTTTTAGCAAATAAACTCAAAAAATTCATATGTACCTAAGTGCATATATATGTATGATGCACTTCTGTAGTTTTTAGAGATTTTCTTTAAAATTTGAAATTTTCTTTAAAAAACAAATAAAAAATCATCAAGTTCTATATAAAGGAAAATAACTTCGTTCTTTTACACTTAATAAGAAAAACCAGTTATGGTTTAAAAATCCTTTGCCCTAGGATCATGACTTAAGGTAAATAATATTTCTCTTTTCATAGCCTTTTTTGCTTCATTACTTTCAGAAAATTGGAATAATAATACCATTGCTTACCATTTTATTCACATCTGACAGTGCCAGCTTCACGGTACCAAACTTCACTTGGAGAGACAGCCAGTTCTGGACTGCCTTTCTGCTATCGCTGTCCTCCATAGTCGAAGTATCAAATCCATCATCACTTCCATTTCCACCTTCCTCGTCATTTTGATCCCAGTTTCCATACGCGCTCCTGATTCCCGATTTGCACATGGAGAAATGTTGCTTGCTTCTAGAAACAGCCGCAGCTTGACTCGATAAGCCTAAACCTACTTTGTCGTTTCCCGATTGGGACAGGCCAGAGCGGTCTTTCTGTGAGAATAGTGGCTCCCAGAGCAACAAGTCATTCGAGAACCTGTTGTAAATCAGGTCGAAAACTGCCTTATTAGGAATGAACAGAGACACAAGAGGCAACGAGATCTTCAGCACCAGTCGAGAATCTGCAAGACAATCCTCGGCAAAGTCTCTCAGTTCTTTATGGGTTCCACATTTCACTACAGGCTGAGAATTATGAATAATAACTTTCGAACTAAACGGAGACTTTTTGCTTCTAGAGTTGCTGGAAAAATCACAGGGGAAAGAATCATACATTGATGCCGTATTCATATCGAAAGTGTTAGCTGATTCTAGTTCACCGTGGAAAGGGTAGAGTTTGAAGGAAACGTACGGTTTACTTCTTTGGTCTGATCCAATGCGACATAACTTCAAACTTACTAGATTAGATACAAGAAACATCTCAATGCAATTCGTTTCAAGACACACTGACAAATCTTCGTCAACTTTTGTGAAATCAAATTTGAGAGACATTGCTGTAAAATTAAAAAGAAAAGCTTCGTTTCGAATAATACGCTGAGTTGACACTAACAGTTTCGTTTCTTCGTCAAAAATTGGAATCGGGATATAAAACGTGAGCTCCAATTCTGAGCATCTGAGTTCAAAGCAACAACTTGTTTCCGGTGATTGATTTTGCGAAGACATCAACTCTTGTTCCGGGTCTAGCACAAACGCCTCGTGATGTGCAAAAGAGTCACTATCTGGATTTTTGCTACACTCAAAAAACTCAATCAATCTATCCAGTAACGTCAAATCCAGATTCAAAACTGTCGGCATTAAGTCCAAAAGAACAGCCACTCGTTTCTTTGCGTCTGAGGATTCTCGCTTTGAATCATTAGACCAAGATATTTCTACTTTCATATTCGGTTGTGCCAGAATTCCATTGGGGGAGAACTGCTTCTGATTAGCGAATGTTAAAATAGTCGATTCCTGTCTGCCAGTTGGCGTATTCAGACATTCCGTGAGTTCGAAGAAAGCGAATGTTAGCAGAGCGTTTGACTTCGCGCTTGTTTTTGATTGGTTTAAAATGAGCCGCGCATTAACAGGGCAAGCCAGGAGTGTTATATGGTTTAAATTACATGCGGATTGGATCAGTTTTTTCTGTTCATACACGTCTTTGGGTCCAAAACCTGTCATGAAATTAGTGACTTGGTGGAACTTTTCGTAGAATGATTTCGAAAGTGTGTCGAAGTCCTCGTTTGTTGCCTCCAGTAGAACTAAGGAGAATCCGTTTAGGCGGATGTTGACTAACGTGGGCTCCGTGTCCGAATCTCCGTCTCGTCGTTTGCGTTGATCATTCACTACAAGAAAAACGTTAAAAAAACTACAAATCTAGCTTCAATCATAATATTGAGATAGTTATTGATTTCTCTTTTAACTAGAAAATAAAAGCCGACATTTTAAAGCCGACAACACAGCCAATCCGCAGATTGCTTTTCTCGTCAAAATCTAAATAGTCGCCAACTATTTAAAAAAAAAACATAGTGGTAAAGTTGCACATAATCAACGTAGCGCAGTAAAAGATAGATTTCGGTGGCTTTTTAAATTATCTTGTCTAAGAAGTCGACAGTCTCCACTTACCATGTGTCGTGGCCGTAGTAGTTGTACCCGATATCATCGACGACGTCATCGAATTATGCTCTGAGTTATCATCGTAAATAGAGTAGAAATCCTCATCATTGTAGACAGCACTCGCATTATTCACTCCAGGTGGACCGCCCATACTATCCATGCACCTATTATTCAGACCCTGTCGGCACAATGACTCATTTGCTCGCATTGAAGGTCGCCCTCGTTCTCCGAGCTCATTGGCCAATCCTATTTTGGAGAACTTTTGGTGTAGGCTGATATCGTTTTCAAACTGGCACGTTGCAAACATCAGCCCAGATTTATCAGTCATACCCGTAGATGGTCCCGATTGAAGGCCAGGGGGTACGTGCACTGTATTCGGTGCTGCAATCAGTGATCTTTTTCATCATTAATGCAAGAGCTGATATAAATAATCCGGAGAAAACGAAAAAACACTTGCTTAGATTTCAGCAGATTTAATATGGTGCAACTTTTTTGCTAAATTCGGAGCAAAAAAAAACAATCCTAAAACTGATCACTTTTGGCTTGCGGTTCAATTGCTGACAAAACTATGTCAAAAAGAGCCTCTTATGTTTGCAAAGAGGCAAAGCAACCTTTCGAAACAAGCCAAAAACGTTCGGAAGTAGCTTAGAAAGGAGTCATAAAAGAGAAACTGAAAATAGTAACGAGTTTTGAAAAACAAATGACCTCTACAAATCCAATGACCTCCAAGCTATCCAGCAGACTGCCTTACACAATTGTGCCACGGTCGCTCCTAGAAACCAAAGACAAGCGAGAATGCTGAAGACGCACAGAAACTACTATTTTGAAATTTATAATTTGGAATGTAATTAAATCAAGGCAACCATACTAACTTTGCATAAACTGAACTCGAATGTTTAAAGCCAAATTATAAATAAATTATGCAATTTAAAAATTTCGTAAACCTTATTGAGTTGAAAATTTTATGAAATTAAGTTTTCAATTTCTACTGTTGTATGAAACGAAAGTATCACACCTTGTAGTATCAGCTGCGCATGAGTAAAAAAGGATATAATCTTCTCAAATGTGTTCAAAAAAATTCATTTTCGCTTGATAGCCGAAAAATGTCATTTACAGTGCTGCTTCTAACTATCCGGACAAAATCAATAAACCTTGATATTTAATACGCGTTTTTCTCAAATTGGGTTGATTTCAGACCAAAAAAATTGATTTGACTAATCTGGATTAAAATTTTAACAGAATTAACATGGTGAAATTTGTTTTGCAAAAACCGGGCCCAAAAAATTACCTCAAAAGCGATCATTTTTGGTTTTGTTTTGTCAATCAAAAATTACTCCAAACCTATTTGATCATTTACTGACATAATTATATCATTACTACATGAAATATTTTTCTATTTAAAAACAATTTTGAAACAAAGGCGAAGCAGAGCTTCGCACCATTTGCGATACAAAAATTGTAAGTCGAAAAAAAAAGTTTTCAAAAATCAGATCACAAAATTGTTGAAAAAATATTTTTTCAAATTATATAAGCAACAAAAGTGGCCTACCTCCAACTTAATTTTAAAACCTGCCTGCTATTTATCGCAAACTTCAGAAGACACGAAATCAAACCATTGGTAAACTGCATTGAAAGAACCAAAAACAACCAACTCTGATAACCTTTTAAATACGTAACCGAGAGACATAAATACCCAACACATTATTCAATTTTTCAGAAGCCTAGACAGATTAGATTAAAAACACAACAAATGTGGCCTGAAAAAGATTCTGCTCAGTGCCGTTAAAAACAATAACGGCTGAAAAGCAATGAGAACATATTTTCAATTGTTGTATTTTCAAGCAGAAAAACAATAAAAATTCGAAAATACATACTCTCAATTACCCACACCAAAAAAATATGATAACAACAGTTGATTGAACAAACAAAAGCACTAAAACACTGAAATTATTGTGCAAACTGAAAACAAAAAAAAACTATAAAAATGTTTTGAACATTTTAATTTTTTTTTTCATTTTTAAAGTTTTCAAGGTTTAGATTTGCCCAAAACATTTTATAAGACTTCAACCTTTTTTTTAAATAAAATCCAACAAAAAGTAATTGAAAAAAATCATTCGGAAAATGAGCCGACGGAATAAAAGCCGACACTCAAGTGCCGAAAAAAATACTGAAAAATTTTAGCACAAAAAAATACTTTTTAATGAACTCATGACAAGCACACAAGGCATATACATAACATGAACATACTGCAATTACCGTCCCAGGCGTATTCGTTGCCTCGAGAACGAGTGTGCCGGATAAGTAAAAAAAATCATGAATTTATTTGGCGCTGAAGCTAAATTTACCATTTCTAATTTTTATCATTCTGTGAACAAAGTTGTTTACGGAGAAAAAAAAAGTCCCTTGATTATCGCAAGGGTAATAATTTGCGCAAATTTTCGTATATTTTTGGTTTAGATAAGATTCTAACTTCGATATAATTTGAAATTAAACCGGTAGTTTTCGCGTAACAATTGATTGACTAAAAGCGTGTAAAATGATCCGCTTCTGGGACCGAATTCATCGAAATATATTGCACCATATTTATTCTAAAATTATACGCAAGTTGTGTCTTCAAAATTTGGGGTATTTTCTGTTACGCTGCCAAATTTACAAAAACGCTCAATGCGCTAACATGTTTCGCCATTGAGCTTCTAGTTTACTTCGCATTTGTTAATTTCATCCAATCAGAATCAAGCATTATAATCCATTCTTCAGCATAGCAAAACAATGAATTTTGGTCCGTATAACAGAAAAAGCGTTTCAAAATTGAGTTCTATTCAATTTGTCCGGATAATTCAAATCAGCACTGGAGTTTGAAACGCAAAATCAGACAAGGATAGCACAGAATGATCCCACCACACTGGTTTAAAAACTTTTTTTTTAATTTCTAGAAAGGGCGACTGATTTAGTTAAAATAACTGCAGGAATGAGAGTTAAAAATTGCTAAACTAACGTGAAATTGTAGAGGTGGTCAGCCTCTCAATTTTCGTCTTATTAGACCATTTTATTCTCGCCACTGAGACAATCTTTTAATTTTTTGGAATCCGAATTAAGACCAAGAGATACTACTTTTAGATGATAGAACATTTGACACCCTGTGAGCTTTCCTTGCGGAACTTAAAATAGGCAAAAAAATAATTAACTAGTAAAACGTAACATACTAGAAAAACGTAATATAAGCTTTAGACCCATTGAAACTACAAAGACCAAACAGCTGATAGCTGGCTGCAATCACTAATTGGAAGGAATTATTTATTTTGGTGTGTTTTGTTTATTATTTTTTCAACGCAGCAGTGCCAAAAGTTCAAAGTGAACTTGAAAAAAGATATTTTTCTTTGAAAAAGAAGTGTTTTCGTTACTCATTTCGACAACTTAACTCAAAGACCCTGTAGTCAATTAAAGCCATTACTAAGTCTTAAGTAATGGCTTTAATTAGGTCCTAAGCTTACTTTCAGTTACTTTCCCAATTAAGTCCTAAGCTTACTTTCAGTCTCTTTATCCGCCACGATCAACAATAGCACAAATGCTAAAATAAGTGGCGCCGGAACCTTATGCGCTACTTGCAAAGCAGCCAATTCTTCTTTCTAATTTTGTTTTATGAGGGGTCGTAACTCTCGCACGTTTTGACTTAAAGTAGCAAAAAAAATGTTCGCCTATTTGAAACACTTGAGAATAGAGCTGTTATTTTCTACTTGAAGGAAAAGTGAATTTGTTTGGAATGACCGTCAATGGATAATTTAGAAGCCCCCATTTTATTTAGCTAAGATGTCGTTTCAGTTCATTAGTTTGTAAAAATTGTTACTGAATATTCGAAAGTGCTTCGAAGAAAATGAACGTTAAAAATGCACCAAGATCAAGATTCGAGCCACTAGCCTGCTTTATTTGAGTCAAACGCTGAACAACCTGAACAAATAGCTTGCTGGCTGTAAAGTGTTTGACTCAAATAAATCAGGTCAGCACGAAATTTTATGAGTCACCATTGACAATTCGAGGAGTTTCATTTGACAACCAACTGAACTTTCATGAACTTAGCAATAAGACCCAAGAAAAACCATATTCTAAAAAACTTGCTGGCACAAAAACTTAAAATCATAGAGCCGATTATCATATTGTCAACCAGAAAGCTTTCAAACAAAATCAAGCCCGACATTGAACACTTGTTTATCGAAAACCAGGACAGCTTCTCTATATCAGGAGTAAAAACAACTTCACACATGAGAAGTACAGAAGTTTCTTACCGAAATATCTAAGCTACTTGGCACAATACCACCACGATTATCAGCAAACGAAAGTGAACTCAACCGGAAAACCAGATGTACACTCTTAAAACTTAGATCCGGGTACTCAACTCGTCAAAAACATTATTATCACAGACTGAATAACACTGTACCCTTCGTCTGCCCAAGTTACACAGGACTAGATACCACCGATTATATCTTCAATTGCCGGATACACCCTACCTCCCTTACGAGAGCTTAACGGGACTTTTTCTCGGTTCTCCCTACTAACTAAAATCTGCCCGCGTAAACCAGGCATAGAAATTCACTCAATTTTCCGCACGCCTAAAAACCTGACCCCTAGAACGGGCATGTTTTCACCACATCAAACCTTCCTCTTGAGCGTGCTTAACAGAGAGGCGGTGTTGACACCAGTACTAAGACACTATCAGAGGAATAGGTGGTTCCCCTGCTAGGTCCGTTTTGCCGCTAGATACCATATGGGAACTGCAGGGACAAGACGGACGCCAAATGTAAACGAAAACTCCTTAATGTTAGAAACTGAAAATTAGCCAATCAAAATCGAACAATCAAAAACCGGAAAGCGCAATAAAAGTAAAACTTAGCCAACAGACATTTGAAAAAGGTCAATGAACCCAAGTGAACAGAAAAAATGAATGGCTTTAAAGCTCTTTGAGCTTCCAGACTAAATTATGATTGACACTATTTTTATGAAATTAATCAAAATTGACAAAGCTGGATCGACAAAAATTGTTGAAGAACTGAAACAAAACTATGGAAAACAAAAGCTTCGAAATTTTACACATTCTTCTGGATTTATAATATATTTGAGATAAGCATGTCAAGAAACACATCACCTTCAAAATCATTTATCGAGCGGTAGCTAAGCCGACAGTACTTGTGTAGACGCCACTTAAGCCCAAAACGAAATTGCCACGAAATATTTTTGTTGGCGTAGAAAAAAAACTATTTTTCAATAAAGCTTATCAGGCAAAATGCAAAGGAAAAAAACTTAATACCAGTGCTTTACAATAAAAAACGTTTAAGAAAAAACGCAGGAAAAACTGTTGACCATGTTTCAATTTGCAATAAAACAGTAGGAAAAATAATGGAAAACAGTTCAAAATGTTCTTTACCTGATGAGTTAATGAAGCCGTCCAGGACATCTATTATTACTTTGATGTGCTTAGGTTGAGTGAACAGAGACAGAGACCCGAGAAGACACTCCACGCTCAATTTTGCCCCCGAGGCATGCGGGTTCTGTTTCATTTTCACTTTCGTTTCCACTTTGCCCAAAAACTCCCCAATTTTAACTGGAGCAGCTAAATTTCCCCCATTTGCATCTCTACCCATTGCAGAATGCAGTTCTTCTGTGGTTAGAACTTCCGTCATCACTTTGTTGATATTGCACGCGTTTGGAACATGATTTATGGACATGCCTTCTATTTTGAAGACCTTAGTGCTGAAGTTCGACGTGAAAAACTGAGTGGTGTCTTCACTTTCACTTGCAGTCGTGTTTTCATTTTCATCCACGAGACTTTCATCATCACCGACCGAATCATCAAAAAAATCAATTCTACCAATTTCAATTTCGATCGAATCTGAATAGGGATCCGATGGTTCGAACCTGATTTTGGTATTGACAAGTGATATTCGAACTTTCAGAAGCACGGTTTCAATAGCCTGTGCGAAAAACTCGAGCGCCTCTCCTTGCTGTTGCTGTGGTCTATTTCCAGTTGGGTTTGAAGAGTTCACGTTTGATGCATGTTGTTCTTGGTTGTCAAAATTAGCCGCAATATCTTCAACATTCAAGCACTTCTTAGCGAGATGAAAGCTGGTAGTCATAAGTGTGTTGAAGTAGGATTCAGTTAGAAAAGTCGAATCTGACGACGCTGACTGGCCTTTTATGGCTATAGTCAGGGAATGGATCTCGACTTTGGACGCGTTCTGGAATATATTAGACCACGGAATGCTCACAGTTATAGTCGCTATATCTCCACTAACTAGTTCAACAGGAATGCCTTGGCTTTCCAATACGTCGTTCACACTGTAGATATCTATCGGGACGTTATGCAGGGATCCGGTTCCGTTATAGAGATCTATTGTCAGCTGGTCCAGTGTCAGGTGGTCTTTTAAGAATCGGCCCAAATAGTGATGCAGAATGAACCTGCAGGCTCGTTTCTTGAAAGTATCCACGTAGGGGAGGTAGCTGCTCCAGGTTGAGCTGAAGCCTCGTTTGCCACCCCCCGAAGGAAACTTGGGAAGCATTGTTAAGATGTCCCCGCTTTATTTTGCTTCCTTTTGATTCGCTTAAAATGTAATAATCAATATTCAAGGCATATATTTTGTACAAATATATACAATATCGAAGCGCAAACTAGGTGACGTTTGCTTCTTCTCAGTCTCGCTCACATTATCGCTCTAAAAAAACACACACATGAATTGCGTGATTCGCTCCATAGAAATCAGCCCTTCACAGAAACCAACGAAAGCAATTTTCCCATTTATTCTATCTTCATTTAGAACTTGCCTCAGCAGAACTTATTTATTTGCAAACTTATATAAAGAGGCGAAGAAAAAACGTCAAAACTATCTATATATCTACCGAAACTTTCCATCTTTTGTTTTGAACGAACAAAATTTAAAAACCATCTACATCTACTTGAACTTTGCAAAGTTTGTTTTGAATGAAAATAAGTAAAAAAAAAAAACAAGAAACACAACCAGCGATAAAATTGAAGTAAAATTGGTAAGTACGCTGACAGTACTTGGGCAGACATCCGTCGGGTATAAAATTTTGTATCTCCCGCAGTTTTGAGCTTTCAAGCTCCCCATCCCGATTCAAATACAAGCAAAAATTTATCTATTTCTACCCTTCAATCGACCTAATATAAAGCAACTGACCCGATATGATACCAAATAAGGCGCTTCCGACCAGTTGAACTAACCAGCATTATAGACACTTCTGCCCCAACTGCTACCGCTAGCAGTTTCTACTTGAAGATGTTTACGCAATTTCTTTTCCAAGCTCAATACCGATCACAGCCTCTGCTTACTGAATATCAACGGCATCGAAGTAGAGCACCTATGCTGGCCCTTTCTGTTTAATCAAAAAGATCCACGTTACCGCTTTGCAAGAAACGAGACTTAATTGCAACAGCAAAACGCCCTTCTGACGAATATAAAATATCATCCGAGTAGACCGGGAAAAGGCAGTTTCTATGCAATTGCCAAAATTTTTCTTACAAAACCACTAAAAAACTCTCTGCTACCAATGTAATCCCAGGACCAATGAACTTCTTCGAACTTATAATCCACGTTATCTGATGCGAAAGGACTCATACTTCGTAACGCCAACACTCACAACAACCAAATTTGAGAGATGATAGAGGAGTTTAAATAGCAGACGAAATAACCATTAATAACATCCCTCTCTACGCGTCATACAAACTTGCATACTTACTCATAATAAGGATCATCTTTTCAAATCACCCTTGCTTCAAAGACTAAACCTAACCTGCTTTTCGACAACCCAGGTCACGCTAAGTTCGGACAACCCACTCATCTTTATCTCTATTAACTACATACAACCCTTCCATGGTACCTGCCGTAAACAAAAGCTTTATAAACTTTAACAAAGCAGACTGGGATATTTATTATGGTGTCCCACTCTTGAACCCTACATTATTTAACCCCCTAATTTTACACCTCCTACTTTATAACCCCGTAACAAGATAACCCCTCAACAATTTAACCCCTTTCAACTTCGATAATTTGTTTCAAATTAAGTCCTTTTACAAACATAGTAGTATTCGAATTAAATGTCCTAATTGGGACCAAATAAGCCATTCTTAATTCACTTGATGCCTCTAGCATCTGAAATTAAATTGCATTTCGCTTAGTTAAAAAAATAATCCCTCAATCACGCGTTCAAAAAAGATAAACTACAGTGTTAATTGAAGGCAACTAAATATTTTTAAAAATTTTACATCAAATCATACTGCCTTACACTTGAACGATTGTTATGAGCTATAATATTTCAAGCGTGCTTCCATTTTACTTCATCTTAACACAAACAAAAATTAGTGGTATCAGGCTACCACTACGAACTTGTTCTCAAGTTTATTATCTTAAACGTAAGAACAAAACCACAACAAAACCACTACGAACTGGAATTGCTCAAAATACCGAACTCATAAATGCCGGGCAACAAAAATTAGATGGCAAAAAATTTATTGAATTGAGAGGTGAGCATAATCATGACATTGCTACGGGAACACCTGATGCTCGACTAGTTTTGAAAAATATCAGATTTGAAAGGATCTGAAAGTGTAATACCCCGACCGCCGCCACAGCAATACAGCCACTCAATTAGCCCTGCCAACTGAAGAAAACTTAGTTCGAGCTGCACAACGCAGGGGCAAGCAACGAGGAACAAGTTCTACCAATCTCTCCCCCCCCCCTACCCCCAGCAACCTGAAAGTTCATGCACTATTAATTTTGGACCTAATTACATAAAAAGTCTCGTGCCGAATCGAGAAATCCTATTCCCCCTTCACTATGGAACACTATGGATTTGCAGCAACATCCGGTTTGGCCAAAACAACAAATGCAGTCGAGGGCTGCCATTATGGCATACAGTCATGTTTCAGTGGTTCACTTCCCAGTATATGGAAAGTAATAGCAAACTTGCAAAAAGACACCTCCGTTCAAAAACTATTTTAAAAAGCCTCGAGCGGGCACCCATGTACAAACAACAATACCGAGTCTTAAGCGAAAAGTCAGAATATTATGCAACTTTACGAAAAAAAACACTGATTTGCTTTTCTTTTGCGCTGTGGCGAACTTAAGCTATATATTTGTTCATTTTTTAAAACATTTTTTAATGAAAAATTGGGTTGTCAATTTTTTTGAGAAAAGACGTCTCCTTGCAGACAAAAAAACGCAGTTTTGTCCCGCATTTGAAAAATTCTATCTCCAGCAATTTAATCCCGGAAAGATCGCTCCTTTGGCGCGACGCCAGGTTGGGACTAGGGGCTGTCAAACCCTTTAGACATTGCTTTGTATTCCGACAATTAGAAGAAAAAAAAAGACTTTTGAAAAATTTTTAGATGGATGGAAAAATTAGATAAGTTTTCATTATAAATGATCGGCATTTGACAAAAACTCGGATTCGATCAAGTTTTTACGCAACCAGTTTCCACTACATATTTCAATTGAATTCAGCCAATTAGTCTATTATTAGCAAGAATATTTGCAAGATCAATGGCAATTTTGGAAAAATCTAATCATTTTCGGTTATTAATTTGAATCATGTTGGTCGGATTAGTTCTCAAGTTCATATAAAAGTTATCACTGTCGGCCAGGTCATTTCTGTTCAAATCTAAACCGCATTTAGCAGTTCATATGTTAATTCGTTTTGTTTCGCAAAAGTTTTCGAAATTACAGATCTGATGTTTACCGATGCTATCGTTCTGAATTCCTTTCAATTAACTTTCACTTTGATTCTAACAATTGGTATTAAAAAGGGGTTCAATTGTAGTGGGACTATCTAATTCCAGGGTTATATCAGATGGTTTTAAAAAGGGGGTTAAAAACGCGGGATGATAAGCTTGGGAACCATTCGAAGTATATTCGATGCTTTTTTACTAGGAAAACACTCCTGATCTTTACAAATGTGAGAGAGTGTTCAAAAACTATATCCACTAGGATCGACGCAAATGTACAAAACTCACTGCCTAGATGATATACATCACTGACTTCTATCTGCAAAACACAATCCTAGGACTATGTAGGTTCAAGCAAATAAAAGTAAGCAGCAAAACTTGCGGGCACGACGAATTAGGGCAAAATTACGGAAACAATCCTAGTTGCGCACGAAGCTCTGATTATACCCGTCCTTGAGTACATATGTCATATGCAGCCAGCATTTCCGAAATCCAAAGAGAACAAACAGTACAAAATGCTCACCTCTGCGCTGTAAGTGGTGGAAACATGACTTATCTACCATGCAATAAAACATACAGTTGAATCACGTATGTTCGAATTCTGTGAAAGCTACATGAAAAGAGGTTGGAAAACGTTAAATTTGATTATAATCTTTTCTACTAATACAATAAATGCACATTACACAGCAGCTTTCATTAAAGATGAAAACACATATTATAATACAAGGAACCAATTAAAAGTTAAGCCGATTGAAAAACATCGGAAAACTGTTGTTTTTAATCGATTACAAGGGTCTTCAGTTTTACAAAGTATGTAAGCGCTATACAACAACAAACACGTACTTAAAAGCACCAAAAATAGCATGAAAGATCATTGTCCTCATTTCGTAACACCTATAAAGCACCAATAAAACGACAAGACTAAAAAGTTGAGTGCTGACTGAGATGATAAGAAATCACATTTTGGAAGAGATGAGTATATTTGATGCGAACTTTGTTTTGTTCAAGCTCAAGAAATTGGCAAGAGACGCTTAATTTTTTTCATATTGAAAAAGAACCTAGAAATTCCGTAACGCGGAAAAATCGATGAATTCAGATCAAAAACAATCCCTTCAAAATGAATCAAAGCACCATATTCAAACTCATACTATTAGACGTAGGAAACCTACTTTCGAAGCAGCCGAAATGCCGAAAATCGATACTTTGACGCCGAAAAAGCACTTTTTCGGAAGGAATTATGTTTTCGTTAAAGGTGCACCCATCGATTCCTTTTGGAAAATTGTTTGAAATTATCTGCTTTCTTTATCACTTTTTAAGACAGCATGAGTTCAAAGCCGCGGAAAACTGGATCGAACAGAAGAAAATGAAACTAGCTAAAAAAAAAGAACACAGAGACGGAGCGAGGCTTTGCGCCACTTGCGATACAACACATACATAGAATGACAAACTAACCGAAAGAGAGTCGAGATGAAAACTGGAGAAAAAATTGAGAAAACTAGATGACTATATAATTCCTACCGTTGTCTTGATTTTGCCTTGTATAACAAAATGCCTTTTGCCTTCTATAAAAAATGCTGCCAAGAAAACATGCCAAGAAGTAGGACAATTCAATGTTACATAGGCATCTAAACCAAGTTTACTAAACAGTAAGAAGCAGACGATTTGAAAATTTTTGACCTCAAAAACTAAAGACAGTACAGTCGCTCCTCAAAACATTTAAATAACGACTAAAAAAGGCCGCCAAGCCATTAATTTATCAACCGAAAACTAATAAGCCGAAAAAAGTTTCGAATTTCACGGGAAAAAATAGACGGCCTTAAAGCTCTTTGAATATCTGGAGACATTAAAGATTTACGCTTTTTGATACAATTAGCCCAATTTGGGAAAACTAGATTAATAGGTAAAAAAAATTGACTTTGCTGGGAAATTCGATAATTAAATTCCACTTTTGAAACTAGAAAATGATCACGTTTTTCGTGACTTTAACACTTTCGCTGTTCGGTAGTGGAGTTTTCCTTCCCTTTAACAAAGGAAATGAACTGAACTTAAAAATAACATAAAAGTCAATCCACGAAAAGTCAAACAGCGTGAGTCAAACCACGAAAAAGCGTGAACAAATTTCAATAACTTCTCCTGAAAAACAATTATTGCAACCTATATAAGAGACTCTTAAAAAGTCATGCTTTGATCATAAAGATTTATTGAGGATCTATTCGCTTTGAACACTTCGCTGTTCAATGGTGGAGTTTGCCTTCCTTTTTAGATCATCGCGACTTAAAAGAAATCTATAAGTCAAACCGCGAAGAATTGAATTGATTGAAAATAAATTATCAAGACCTTTATGAAAACCTTCACTACGTTCATCGACTCTTAAAAAAACATAGCCAACAGACGGTCGGAAAAGACGGTTGGAAAAGAGTCAATGACCGCAAGTATACAGAAAAAAAAATATTGACTTGTTTTTTGAAAAAAAATTCTTCAAATTTTCGAACTTTCAAGAAAAAAATAGATGCCCTTGCAGCTCTTTGAACTGCTAGAACAATGTATTATTGACAATATTTATTAAAAAATTTCCCAATTTGAGAAAATGGATCAGGTTTCGAAGTTCCAGAAAAAAAAATAGATAATACATTGCAGTTCCAGAAAAAGAGAAAATGGATCAGGTTCAAGAAAAAAAATAGATAGCCTTTAAAGTTCACTGAACTTCAAGAACAATTTATGATTGACACTTTTCTGATTGACCGAATTTGAGAAAATTAATCACTCAGTCACAGTTTTATTTCGCTGGAAAATCTGATAGATAAATTCCGTTTTCGAAATCAGAAATCGATCAAATTTTTCGAGACCTTTACACTTTTGCTGTTCGATAATGGAGTTTGCCTTGCTTTTAACGGAGAGCGGAGAGATGGCAGTGTTTTCTTCATTTTCACTGCCTTGATTCTGGATAGACTAAGCATAACAACGGTCTTTATTAAATACAAAAAAAAAGATGAAAACTTTGAATAACAACCTTACAATTTAAAAAAAACATCTTATTATGCTGCATTCACGGCTTTGATGCCAGCTATCATAGCCCAAATGGCCTCTGATACACAATTAATTTCGAAACATTAACAAGCAAAGAAAAGCGGATAAAATTACCTCATTTTTTTGCACAATAGGTTTATACCATTGTTATCATTGAATATGGAAATCTAACAATATTTTTCAGTTGATTCCTATTGAAAATCAGATAACCTAAGTGGGGAATAATCAGTCGAGTCTAAAATTTCTAACACAGAACTCTAGAACATCACGCGATCAAAATCAGACATTAAACCATTTCGTGTATCAACACATCAATTAGTGATGATATCGGCTCAAATATTAATTTACAAGATAAAATCATCTGGAAATAGTTTGTTTGTAATAAATCTAATGTGGATTCTTAAGAATTTGTTTTCTTTGTAAATCGAAAACCTTATTGCACCAGAAAATAAGCTCAGGATCTGCTTCATTCAGCTTGTCAAGTGATGGTATTTTTTGCACTGAATATGAAGAACTCGGCTTCACAGGGGGATCAAATCTGTTTAGTGATAAAGGTCTCCGAGTTATTCTTCGCAGCCATCGAATATCTTTTCTGAGGAGCTGATCTGCCACATATCTTGAATACTGATGTCTGGTAAGCACGAAGCATTTATCGTCTATGCAGTTCAGGTCGATGTCATCAGCGTGCTTCGAAGCCATCAGCTCTCTCTACAACAAAAATATTATTCTTACAACTCATTTTGATCAATTTACTCGTGCTTTAACTCTCCATACCGAGCCCATTACGTTAAAGATATTTTACCTGACCTTGAAATTAATTATTATTTTTTAATTTATGCGAAACTCAAAACCTTTGCTCTCATCATTTAAATAGTTCAACTTAAAAAATTGTATTCTCAGGGGTCAGCCTAAAAGCAGAACAAACAAAATCCGATCACATCTTCCGAGTCGTCTGTTTGGTTCATTTAGTGTTACTTTAAGCCTCAAATTACCGCTGATTAGTTGAGCCTACCGAAAAATCGCCTATCGAAATTACCTCGTGTAGCTTTCTTGAGCACGCCAGAATTTCCTCTCCATAGAACCAGTAAATATGAGCCATTTTTCCGCCTAAAATCAAACAAGGCTGCTCGTATATCAGGGCAGAACTATATCAGAGCAAACTATTTCAGCGCAAAACTCTATCAGTGCATGTTCCGACTGCCCTTTTAAAGTTAATGAAAAATTTTTAGTTAAAACATTGATAAAGTAACCAAAAAAAGAGAATTTTTCTTCTTCGTTTTGTCTCTCCACAGGCTATCGTATCGCACTAACATATGAACAAGACTGCTCGTACATCACGGTGAAGCCTTGAATGTTCCGACTGTTCCTTAAAAGTGCTTGGTAAATTAAGTATGGAAACGACACAAAATAAGTTGACTAATTCAATAAAACATACGCTGCAAACATTATGCCGAATAAAGACAGCTTTAAGCAAAAAAAATGTATATATACAAAGTCAGGGCTAGTAAATATACATTTTAGCGGATCAAAAACACTTGCAACTACAATTAACACTGCTCAGTTTAAAAAACGCGATTTGGCAACAAATCCAACAAAGCATAAGCAGAAAAACGAAAATCCGACCGCTCAAGTATCCCGGAAATTCTGAAAACAAAAACCACGGTCCAACCGGGACTCGAACCCCAGATCTCGGGGCGCCACAACACTCGAGTTACCTCAAGACCAAGTGGGAAGCAATCTGGAAGTTGTTACGGTTCAAACCCGATTACAAGACACTTCCTCTCGCGGAAAAAAGTCTATGCTCGCTTTGATAATGTTTGCTTGTAAAAACAAAATGTGACATATTCAATCAACTAAAATTGACATCTTTCATTGACAGTTAAAAATTACTCGTATCAAAGCGAAGCACTGAACATGTCGACAATTCTCTAGTCTGTAAAAGAGTTTTGGCTAAAACAAATATCCAGAAAAAAACAATCTTTTTTTTTCAAAATCTTCCCACATGCAATTTAAAGCATAAAACGATATTAAACTTCTATCAATTCGGTATTTGAACTAACTTGCTTGCGTCAATCCAAATTGCAGCGCTTTTTTAGCCGCATTCATTCGCCACCGACACTCAGCATTATTGGAAATCTGGAATTTAGCACTCAAAAAAATTCCAAATTGGCAATTTTCATACCCATAAATTAACCAAAATTCATTGCAGGTGAAAAAATTTGATCTTGGAGCATTCGTCATCGATCTAACCACAGCTGTCAACAAAAGATGCTTAAAAGATTTCAATTTCTCGGAGGAAAAAAAAACAGACTTGCAAATATTCCCATCTGTTTTTCGAAAGTCGGAACAAAAACACGTTTACAGTTTTTAAGCAATTTGCTATCTTAGACTTTTAGTGTTCCTTTCTAAAATCACATCTTGATTGCTTTAACCTGATATAGGACAGATGTATAGGTCAGAAATGGCAGCCACGAATGGCTGAGATCTGGATTGAGCCGCAATCAGCACACAGTCGCCTCTGCTGAGAGTGACATCATCATTGGTCACTTGATCGTAACAAGAGCGCACAGCTAGTTTATAAAGTCCATCCTGAAAAACAACTTAACACTTGGCTCAACCATCTCATAAATTTGCTGCATATATACAGAAACACGCGAAAATCAACAAGCATCAAAATTTTAGTTTATCTGCAAAATGACCTCCCTATTTTATACTGATATCTTGTAACATACTTTAAAAAAGGCCATTTGAACATTTTAAACTTTGTTTCGAAGAAATCCCTGCCTTTGAAGTTTGCAAAATTAATTATTTGATATAGTATAGCTTGATTTTTGATAGTATCTTTTTCGAAACTTGTATCTGATAGTATCTCTGCAAAGATCTCCATTTACCATCTAAGGTCCCTGTTCACTGCTGTTTTTCTACCATTAAAATTCTCACCGGGTGTCGGCAGTAGATTCGCTTGTTGAAAGGTTCGCCCTCAAACTGCCAGCTGGAAAATGAAGAGACAGGACTGATTTTGGGACGGCTTGATAGTCCTGGAGTATCACAGTTTTTCAAAACCAGTTTCATTTTTCCGCTCTCTGGTACTAGAAACAGTCAAATACGAGCAATTGCGACTTAATATGACAACTTTTCAGAGCAACGAAACTTACCTGTCTGAACATTTGAGCTGCGTTCCAAAACCTCATTTGATAACTTGGTAAGTTTAACTTGACATTTAACGGCCTTTTCCATGCCCTCACTTTCACTGGGCTCTTTGTTAGATTGACATTTTTCACAGATAGCATTTCGAGCACTCTTCGCCTGTTTATGTTTTATTTTTTTCTTTGAATGGCCCATTTGTTCTAAAAGTTCCTGACTTGTTTTTACAAGCAGATACTTGAGCATTTTCATGCAGCCCTGACATTGTTTCTTCCGTTTCCTGATTTTACTCCGCTCTATTTCTTGCAGGTCTTTCAAGCTTTTCTCTTTTGACTTTCGAATAGTTTTCAACGTTTTCGAATTCGATGCAAAACAGGAGTCGTACCACTGCTCTGTTTTCGGAAATGTTTTCGGATTATCCAAGGCAACGGATACACTTTCGTTGACAAAAATAGGTTCCTCGATCAAAGTTTCAAACTTTTCCTTGCTTTTACTTGTTTCTTCTAAGCATGTCGTATCATTTTGTGGATTTCTCAAATTGCTAAGAACCGGTTTTTGCTTTTCAAGAAGCAACATTGTTCTGACTCTGGCATCTAAGCTAGCGGCGCGTGATCGATCTTTCTTAACACTGACAATTGAAACCGAAGACAGCGTGGAATGTTCGTCAATTGACGATTCAGAGATGACTTCTGTGAATGATATTTCGTCGTCGATATGCTCTGTTTTGATCTTGCGCCGCAGTTTTGTGTCTCCGACATAGTCCTCGGGTGTATTAAGCTCAACAGATTTTTCACTGTTTGGTCTGGTTGAAATTTGGCTTTCTCCACTTGATACGGGATCATGCTCCATCTTAAATGTTACTTCTAAATCCTCCGTTGAGTGCCTTTTAAAAGTCACAACTGAATCTTCTAAAGCGCTTTGATTTCCTTTTCGTTCGTTTATCTGAGGTCTCTTATGCATTTGTTCAATTTCATCTAACAATTGTTCCGATACGTATTCAGTCAAGCTTTTCTGACATTCTTGCTTTGGACTACTTTCAACGCTGCTGCTACTCTCTGAGCTGGAAGAATCTTTAGAAACAATTGCATTAAAATTTTTCTTTCGACTAAGAGGAAATGTGTACGGCCATAACGTTTTTCGAGCTCTGAGACGCTTGCCAATTGAGTGTTCTTTTCTATAGTCCATTTCTCAATAAAACCAAGATGAACATTCACATAAAATCCTACATGTGGTTCCTCTTCTATAATTTCTGAGGATGCTTTGAATCGATTGCAAAAATCACTCAATAATCTAACGGAATTTCTTGCAGAGAACCAATTGAATCTGAATGCATCTAAATCGGAATTTATAACATTTTGTCAAAAAATGATAGCAAAAATGTAGATACTGATACAATAGTAATTAATGGGCATTATGTAGCCAAAAAATCAGAATGCAAATATTTAGGCCTTATTCTTGATTCAAGTTTATCTTTTCATGCTCAAATCAAAACAATTCTCCAAAAAAAATGGCACAAGGAATTAAAACTATAGATACAATTGGACAACAACTGCCGACATTATCATTAGTTGCCTTGCTTCATTGTCTTGTTTTATCACGTTTAGATTATTCAGCAATATTTTTACAACAAATTAATGCTACTTTGATGCTATCTCTGGAGAAACAGTTGAACTGGGCGTTAAAAACAACATATTTCAGATCGAAATTTATATCTTCTTCCCTTCTTCGCATTAGCAAATCGTTCATTGGAATCGAGAAAAGAATTGAGTTAAAGTGTATAACATACTTATACTAATATCTTACAAACAAAAAGGAGGCTTTTCAAAATACATTGAGACTACCGACTGCCAATTATAGGCTCAATAAAAGAACGAAACAATTTATTTTTGACAAACACTGTTCAACCGCTTCTCTACAAAAATCATTTTTTCATTTGACTTCTAAAAAATGGAATTCACTGCCCATAATTTTGCGCAATTTAGTAAAATCGAGAACATGATTCAAGAAAAAATTGAAAGAATTTTACGTGAGTGAATTGAGAAACAATCCAATATGTACAAATACAAAAACGTGGCGTGATTTCCGTTTTCGCTAGTTCTATATGTTTTAATTTAGTTTAATTTTCCAGACATTGTTTGAAAGAGAATCTGTATATACTCTGTAAATACGCTGTATGTTTGGACTATAAATAAAATTGTTTGTAAAGTTTTGATACCAGCTCGTTCTTAATTCTTAAAACTGATGTTTTTTTAGTATCCGTAACTTCATATATTTTAATCAACCAATTTCTGAACTGTAACGGAACTTGTTTTGTTTTGTTTTGTTTATTGCTTGTTTTCTGATGTTGGGTTTTTGTTTGATGTAACCAATGAATTTTAAACAACTTTATTATTTACACTTTGCTATACTGATGCCTCGGTTTTTTACTGTATAGTAATTCAGGTGTTCTTTGTTCTTCTTCTTCTTCTTCTACATATATCGAAGAGGCAAAAGAAGACAGTTTAAGTCGAAAAAAAGAAAAATGTTAAAAATTAAATTTTCATATGTCTCCAAATTAAATTTTCATATATCTCCATAGAACTTGATTCTAGGCAAACATGTCAGACACTTGATATTGACTAAGCGTGCTACGCACCACTGGTCCTTCAAAAGCGAAATCAATGTAAAAAAGACGGGGGAATCCAACAACGGTTCTGATTTAGTAGTAGTAGTAGTATAGTATTTGGGGTTTTTATCCCAAGGGTTTGCACCCAAAATATAATTTAATGAGTTATGAGTGCAACTGTCCATTTCTGAACATTTTGCAAAGAAGTTCTAATAAATCTCTGCTATGTCAGATTTCCTTATCTCCTTATTACCTTTTTTGGCGCAACGATTATCGCCCTCATGAACACCGACGGAGCTTTGAGACCGATTGCCATAGGCAACACGTGCAGACGTATCGCATCTAAATGCGCTGGAAACAAGGTCCCCTCAGAGCGACAAATTTTTTTCGGAAACCTATAGGTCGGATGTGGCACTAAACGAGGAGCAGAAACAGCTGAACACTCTTTCAAATCTAATTGAGCGTGACGACAATCCGGAATCCACTATTCTTTTAAAACTAATTTTTAAGAATGACTTCAACTCTCTAAAAACAGAGACAAGGCTGAATCATGTTTTTTCAAATTGTCACGATTTGTACAAATACACCCATTGCTCGTATAGTTAACCTATTTATCTTTTTTACCGAAGCTTTATCATAAAGTCAAAAAGACGGAACTCAACACGGCAATCCTCAAGTCCCAACACTTTTTGCGGAAACAATTCAAACACTAGTCAAACAGTTGAATAAGAAAACTGACATCTGGTATTTAGATGATGGAAGTTTAGCCGATGACTATAAGGAAAAACAGTCTAAATTGATACTCTTTATACGCATGTTAACAAACATGAGCTTGGTGGATTGAGAGAAAGTGAAAGGAAAAATGCGCCTGATAAAATGAAGTGACTTGTTACATGGTAACAACTTATTATTGATATGTATCATCCAGTTCAAGTCATCAGAGACACGTAAACCAAGGTCTTTTACTACATTTGGCAGTTATGTCCTGGTCGTTGACAATCACATGACAAAGAAAATTGCCTTTGAAAACAATGAGAATGCACTTAACGTGACTGACCGATAAATCATTTGCAGTACACCTGTTTGTAAAAGAATCAATATCAAGCTGTAGAGAAATAATATCAGAAGAAAACAACTTTGGATTGTCATCGAACAAATAAAAATTGGGAAATTCTATACACTCTGGCAGATTTTTCATGAAATGAAGAAAAAAAAGCGGTCCTAAGATGCTGCCTTGAATAACGCCACTAGTAACAGGACGTGGATTGGAAATGTGCGCATTTATGCGAACACACTGTGATCGGTTACAGAGATGCGACGAAAAAAATCACAAAAAATAATGATCCAAACCATACATTGATAGCTTGCTTAGAATGATATCATGACGAACAGAATCAAAGGCTTTACTAAAGTCAAAATAAACAGCAGCAGAAGGAACGTTGAAATCACTATTGTGGTATACTTCATCAAGAAACGATGACAACTGTGTTACAGTTGATCGCTGTTTTCTGAAACAATGCTGAGAGTTTGACAAATGTTTTCCAATCTTTGGATATATATGGTTGAAGAGAACTTCCTCAAAACAATAACCAAGGGGGTGTAAGATACTGATAGGTCTGTAGTTTGTAATATCATTAGGAGACGCAGGCTTTAGAATTGGAGTAACAAAAGCCCATTTCCAGGCAACAGGCCAGACGCATGTGTTGATAATAATGTAAAAAAGAAAACTAACAGGAGGAGAAAGTAACGACGTACAACATTTATAAACAAAAGCAAGAATACGGTCACCAGAGCAGGCTTTTTTAACTGATTGTAAACACGAACTGACAACCAACGGTGACACATCGACTTCCGATAATTTGATATCAGAATCAAGAGAAACAGTCGGTACAGTATAGTCAGACACAGGCTTCCGGAAAACAGAAGCAAAATATTCGTTGAAAAGTTCATTGATAGACTCGTCACAGACAGCTTGCTTACGGCCCCAATGAAGGTTGTTTCGAATGATTGGGGACTCCTTAAACTGTTTCAAGAATTTAAAAGCACGAGAAGGAGAGGAAGGAGAAAAGTTCTGAAAAAGCAATTCTTTATCCAAATCAACTGAGTTGGTGAAAGACTAGGGGAGAAGTCTATGCTCTGCAATCTTTGCTTATATGCATTATATGAATTGAGCATCCATTTCGTTGCTGTCTGCTGCACTTTTTAAAGTTTCAGGTTTGATTTTGAGCCAGTCTGTCATAACCTGGATTTTTTTTCTATCTGAGAAAAGCTTCAACTTTATGAGAGTTGGTTCCTTACAAAATTTTGAAGATGTAACTTAAAAAGTTTGCTGTAAGTCATCAACTTTTGCGAATCAATTCACTGTAGCATATAACTTGGCATATTGTAAAACTTCCAAAACTTCTAACGGCTATAAGTTCACTGCAAACTTTTTATGGATCGTGGCTTGAATAGTTTTTTTAGAAACTCAATTTGTTTCTCGAAATGAGTACAACCCTAACTACTTCAAAAAGTTCATTGCTTGAATTGCTCGCTCAGAAGAACTGAGTTTTGCAATCCATTCCCAATTTTTTCAAAAGACGGCTCTTTTTTCTTGCTCCGCGCGAACTCGCCAGTATCAGCAAACAAAAACAAATGAATTTCGTCGAATCTGATTCCTTGAAATTGACTATGCCGCGAAAGTTTCCATATCGCTCAAATTTTCAGAGCTCAAAGTGATTGCTTGGAACAACTAACTTTTTGTGCAAGCCGATTGATTGATGGAGATGGGCTCGCTAGTTTTACTCTTAGTAACTCAAATCAAAACTGTTCTCCTCGTTAAAATTTTTTAAATTTTGTTTTAATAAGTATGTTCTATGAAAAATGGCCTCAGTATTGTGTGGAGCCGGTGAGATAATTTAGAGACAAAACCTTGCATGTTATCAAAGCTCACATCTTCAAAACGTCATCACAAAAACACCTGCTGATTGCCGACTCAAGGGCGAGCAGACTAGTGTTTCCCAACTTCAACATCTTGTCAATCCCTGGTGGTAGGATCTTCCACGTACAAAATCCTTTACCCGAGAAAGGTCTGTACGACATAATCTCCTTAATCAACGACCGAAAAGACAGTCTCAGCGGTACGGTAATATCTGCACGCGAGTCATAGGACATTGTGAAAAAACTAGCGATTCTTGCCCGCCATTTATCTGATCTCTGCAATAGGGTTCATAAACTGGGCTCTCCCCTGCGAGTCTATAAACTGAACAACACAAACACTGATTGCCATATCAAGGTTGATATAGTCAATCAGCGTGAAGCTATGTAAAAGGACTGGGCTTACAGAAACATCAAACAAAAGATATACTGCGAAACCGATACCGAAAACAACGGAATTCATCTAACCCAAAAATTCCTGAGCGATCTTTGAATCATCTTGAAAAAAAACGTTTTGCGAATAAAAAAATAGTCACTGGCAGCATCGCACGACAAACACACAGAAACAAGGAGTGATGTAACTGTGGAAATTACAAGCCTCTCTAGGTAAGTTTATAGCTCTTGGAACTCTTTGGAACTATTTACGGTTGACTTCTATCCTTCTTTTCTAGTGATAGTAATCATTACACTCTCGATTCCAAATTAAACATTCCAACATTTCTCAATTAAACATTTCAAAGAAATGAGTTCAAGTCTGAAAAATTGCCAAAACTGCAAAACATGCAAATGAACATACTAAAAGAGCCATTGTATATTACTACATATCATGTGGCGAATTAATGCACATGAATTTCTAATGCACCAACTGACAAAGAAATTGCCGTCAACATACTGAAATAACTGAGCCAAAATGGGGTTTTTTGTGAAAAAGCTGTGTGGCAAGTAATCAAAAAAGTGTAATTCTTAAAATCGAGCAAACAAATGAAAATATGGAAAAATGTAATTAACCGAAAATTGCCTACATAAATTTCACGATGCGGTGATGAGAAACTGAAAAAAAGCAAAACCAAACCGCACTGAAACTTAATAAGCCAGCACCAAAAATTGGGAAACTTGCTCAAAAAGATTGTGATGGCATACGTACAATTGACATACCAGAGTCAGTGGAAACAAACGGCAGGTCAGGAGCCGTCAAGGATACGCAGAAAGTGGTACATTTTCTTGATTGTATGGAAATCAGGTGCCCTATAAGTGATTTACAGAGGGTCGGAAAGTTCACCAAAAATAAAACTCGACCGTTAATTCTAAAAGCTTCAGCACCATGGGAGAAACTTAGAAGTCTGCTCTCTCTGTACAAGCTTATGAACTACGAAAACAAAATCTGCATCAAAAAACAGTTATCTCTTGATGGCAGAATGTAGAAAATAATCAGCTTAAATTAAGGCGTGATTTTGTTTAATCGATAAAACGCAAAATTACTGATCAGCGACAGAAAGATTTGAATTTATTGAGAACGGCTGGGTCGGCGGTTAAATGCAAAGACCTTTCAGTCTGACTAAACGAAAGACCCATATCCACAATAGCACCGT